TCATCTTGCAAACTAATTCACAATTCACTTAAGGATATGAGCCCTTCCCACCAGCACCATGTCAGTTAATGGAGCTTGAATATGTGTCGTTTGCCCTCCCCAATTTCTAAAACAAATTAGAAGAAAAGTAAATCAGACGACCAAACCATAGACTTATATAATAACGAAATAATCAAAAGTCATCCATAAAGCAAAATGCACGAAGCCACTATGTTTCCACACGCTTTTTGTCATAAAATATTTAAATTCTCCAATAAAAAAAATTTATTAAAATCTTCCAATCATTATATTCAGTGCAGCACAATTCCTGCTTAGACTAGCCATATACTAATAATTTAGTACAAAAAAATTCCCGACCACAGATGGGAAAATTAGCTACTAGTTTGTGCCTACTTCAGATCAGCACTCCGCATAATGAGGAACTATTATATCCCAAACTCTTCGTACTAGAATGGATATTAAGTGGCATATCCACTCATTATCTCATTTCCAAATTGCGTTAAGCATAAAATGGATAAGAAATAGCACAAGAAATTACAAAGCTGTAAGCATCATCGGCATGTCTCAAAGAAAGGGCACATGTATACTACAAACATGTGAAAATTTCCTCAGATGGCATCAGTGCAAAACTCCTTTCCTCCTCCAACTATTCATATGATGAGTATATAGATTATTTAAAAAGTGCAGGAAAAAAACTTTTCTCAATAGGTAAATTACACAGAAACTAAAAAATCGGAAATCAGAAACTGATTTGTCATATGAACTGCTATTCTCTGCCATGTGCCTTATGAAAATGTTATTTTAGCAGAGCATGAATGAAATGACGTTTTGGAGCATGAAGAAGAAATTGAACGGCCACACAGATGATATTTCATTATACTATATGTATATATATTGCATTTTCAGTCACTTGCAGAATAACCGATATTTTGGAAACCAATTTTATAGAATTAAAACGCGCATGATGGACCATCCTGCAGTCCATTTCGATTTTTGGACTGAGAGCTGTTGTTTTTTGCCTTGCGTTAATCAAGCGACTTAATTCCACAAAACTGATACAACTAAGTTTGAGTAGTGTCCTGTTCAAAATTGTGAAGAACACCCCAGAATTTCTGCTAAATATTAACTAGTCTTAGCTATTCAAAAGACTCATAATTTTGCTTTTCTATATTGTACAAGCAGAGTAATTGTTTATAAACTGTATATAAGCTATCCCTTACATTATTGCAGCTTCAAGCAATTGATTCAGCCGTCATAAAATGAAGCACATCATTGCAGAAATGTTTGAAAACTATTAAAACAAACCGGAGAAGAGAAGTTAGGTTGCGGTGGGACCAGCATATGTTGAATATGTGCTGGTATTTGCATTTGCTGTTGCACATTCTGCGGCTGTGGGCCTTGTGGAGCTATGTTGTACACCGGTGTCCCAGGGGTAACAGCTCCGTCTGTTCCTGAAGCTGTACAAATATTTAAAGTAACTTTTATCGTGATTTATGAAGATTTTATTAATCGAATAACCTGTTAATATAAATGAATAAATTCCGAAACTATCTCTTTCAATTTCTAAATAGGAAATATCTATTGTAGGAACTTACGGAGTAAATTGTTCAGCGTTGGTGTCGCCGTTTGATGTTGTTGCTGCTGCTGCTGAAAATCAATATAGAATAATTCTAGCAAGAAATATGGACAATTATAAATCTCTAAATCTGAATTCCAATGTAATTAAATGAAAACAGTCAAGCCCATCCAGATTCCCATTCTTTTCTAGATATCAATGTCAATCTCAAAATGAAAGGACTTTAAATTTTTTAAGGACTGCGATTATTTGTTAAACTTTCAAGTATTTTACCTCGTATTAGTTTCAAACATCAAGCTTGTGCGTTATTTATATTTTTTCGTACTTCTATTTTTTTTGTACTTCAAAACTTTTCTTTTTTTTACATTATCCTCTAATAGCTTATAACCAATGATAAAGAAAAGCTTTTCATCATAAATTGCATTGAGGTGAAATTTAAATCCCTGCTCATCAATTTACGATTTGCTTGTTTTCTATTTGCATTAAGCAAGATCATTTTACCTGAGGGGACATTTCATTACTCGATTTAGATGTTTCAGCAGCACAACTACCTTGAGATATCTCATTTGTAGCCATTTCTGTAATCATCACCACATGATGATTCCGATCAAGTTTATTTTTGTGACCTCACTATGGAAGTTGCAAAGGTTAGGTATCGAAAGAATTGTGCGAAAAAACCAAAATCTTTCGGCAGACTGAAGAGTCGTACAGTCTAAATCACCAACCTTATAAGGAGATACACTGAAACATTCAAAGATTAAAATGTTGATCTATTTCAAGAGACTGCCGTTGGCTACGGCATATCGTGCTATAAATGTGGTTCAAAAGTGCTACAGATGGTTAGGATTACTTAAATAAATTAAAGGATAAATCAGACTGACCCTTCAGTCAAAGAAATTGGACAGTTTCATCCACTTTTATACTTGAACCCGGTTTGCAATGAATGACCGTTTTGAGTACCAGTGTTGTTAGTTGAGAAATCAACCAGTTGTAATAAATTGATCATGAAAGAGTAATAGTTGTATCATATTAGTAATGAAGCAATATTAATTATGTCGATGCTGCGTAATCTTTTCTGTAAGTCTACTTCGCAGCGCCTAAAATCTGATGAATCTTTATAGCGCATGCACGAAATCATTATATACAGTGTCTATGTTTACGGAAATCATATCCAGAGATAACAGAACGAAACCACGGTAGATAATCCGCCAAAAAGAAAATGATCTTCAAACCAAAATAATTCCACACGATTTTGAAAATTTCTTATATGGCTAAATGTTCCAGAAACGGCAAAACTACAACATCATATCTATTCTTCTGCCATTTTTATTGAGATATCAACCACTTCTTGAGGAAAACAAAGAACAAGGGTCGACTAACAAGCTAAGATATCACTCACTATTAGTTTGACTATATTGGTCTGTTGGGTCCGGGAAGGAAAACGCAACAATGTATCAGAAGTAAACAATTCCATTCACTTGCAATTGTGCACAGAATCTCAATAGTAAAAAAATCTGTAATTTTCTTTCCAGCCAGGACTGACTCTGATTTGTAGCAATTAGTCATCTTCGGGTTGATATTCAACCAAGAGAAATACACATTCCCACCCATCCGAATGACGTCAAATCATGGTGCTGCGTGCTTGTTTTTTCCATTCATAATTTCTCATTCGTTTTTTTTTTTCATTCACACAAAAAATAGTAACATTGAAAGAACCGATATAAATTTCTTTATCAACACCCAAAAGAAACGCCAGCGCTAGTGAGAACTCATAATACAACATTCTGCCCAATGTCCTGAAAATGTGCCAACAAAAACTACGTACAGAGAAAGAAATACTAACTGAAAGGGTATAATAAGCATATATACATAGCACTTCTCACAGTGCTCTAAACAAATGACATGAACATCTCTATATGAATATACATTCGTAACAAGAGATTTCGGACTAATTTATTGAATTATCTTTCGCACCAGACAATCCTGATAGCATTCACAGATCGATGTTACAAGGCCATCTTGTAGATCAGATTTAGAAGAAATTTTAACATCTAGATAATTAAGAATGGCCGACTGCAGAAACAAACAGGTAACGAAAGCGTGTTGAAGAGATTTCCGCATTCGAAACCTTATCTACATATCGTTATAAATTCTCACCTCACAATGAGAATTAACGTGATCACTCTTCAACAGGAATTTTCGCCAGTATAACCAGGGAATAGTTTAATTTGCATTACAAAAGCTTAACTACAAATCAGAAGGTTCGTACGCCTTAAAATGAAATCATTTTGAATGATTTTCGATCTTACTACACTCATTCCGCTTGTTTTTTTGCAAGATGGAGGACTCGGACTGCATTTTCAGATGGATATTTTGGATAAAATTCTAATAAAAGTATGCAACTCTCAGCCTCAAGATCCATGTTTTTCCATTTAGTTCCATCTAGTCCATCATCTAGTAACATTCCAAAAGGATTTTTAAGGCCATTTTCGTTATCAACTGTCACTTCTTGCAGCTTCTGTATAATTACGATTAATGTGCTCAGCTAAGTCGCAAGCCTCTCGTATACACACATCCACTCCAGGATTTCACATGCTTAAAATGCTCTAAATCAATTTTAGGAGATCATTTGTTCCTAAACAGAATCACACTAGGAAGGAAAACCGCATTCAACTTTGATCAGCTAGCTCAAATATCTTGAAATCAATTAAATCTCAAAAAAAATTGTTCAAAAATAATAGTCGAAAAAAAAAGTAATCAACATACTTAAATATGACTTGCAAACAAAAAATCACTCTAAAGACACTATCAAGGTTGCATGATGAATTCATTATGCATCAAAATACATTCATCACTTAGCATATTACCAGCCACTGTAATATTGTGACACATCACACTTCACGTACTCTCGATATATTAGCAATTATATCAGTAACCATTAAAACATTTTATACAGCTTATTACGATTGCACACAAAAATCGTGGCAGTACAATCACGTGAGACTCATTCTAGCTTTTACAAAACTATTTTTTTTACAAAACATGAGTAGATACGGAAAAGATCTATGTACATTTCGGATACGATATATTTCAGATGTTGGATGTTGATTGGATAAGAGCAACTTTTCCTTTTTTATTCTCAGGTTATGTCAGAACATTAAGAATATCAATCAAATCCATTAAGCTACCGGTTGGAATTCGTAAGTAAATATAAAAAACACATCAAAAGATTTCATCATTCTGTAATGTAACTATGCAGCCATAAGCGTTGGATGTTTTACCATTTCTTAGCTTTTCATGTTCCGAAATTCTAATATTAGACATTAGTTCGCAAGCTCATATTTTGCAACCACCAAACGATAAAGTGAGAAAAGGAAGTACATGTAGTATGAAATGAATAATTTAATTAGCCGCATGAAATGAATAATTCTTCGATTTATAAAAAAGTAACACTTGCACTTTTCTGGCATAGGAATAGTCCAAGAGAACTGTGACGTACAAAGAGTAAAACTACACATGTATACATACCTATAATTGTGTATACATGCCCCATGCATATAGGACAGTCAGAGTACTTGTGAATTATGAACCGCTTACCCTACTCGAAATGTGAATCTTTCTGACATGAGCAGTGAGCTTACAACTAAAACAATTTATCAATCACACCATGTTGTTGCACAAATGTAACATTAATCTAAAATGAGAATTTGTTGATTCTGAAGTCAGAGAATGAACAAATACGAAGAGAAACAATAAACTGTTTTGATATGTATGTGTATAAACAGTTGGTAAAATGAATGGGAATTTCTGTCATGAATAATTCCCGTAGAATCAGCAGAAAAGATAAAACCATTGAGGAGGCAAAGCATTATGAAAATTCGACAAGAATGAGAACTGTCCATAAGTGGCGCAGTTGACTGCAACTTTTTTTAATGATCCGCATATTCCTGCAGGTATTAAGGCCTAATAGCGAGCAAAAAGAAATTGGATTAAAAAACTGATAACGCTAGAATAGCTCTTCATATTTGTTCACACAAAATAGATCTGGGCCATGAAATACATTTAAGTCACACTAGATGTCTGTAGATAGCGTCATCTTTCTCAGATTAATATTACATTTGCGCAACAACATGGTGTGACTGATAAATTGTTTTAGTTGTAAGCTCACCGCTTATGTCAGAAAGATTCACATTTTTTATTTTTCAACTCTTTCCCAGGGTATGAAAAGACAGATGATTTTTAAAATATAGTGGTAGTACTAATGACAGTGATAATTGACGACGATTAACAAAGAGATAATTGAGGTAGTGATCACACTACAGGGGAGCGTGATAATGATAAGGATGATGGAGAAAAGATAGCAACAAGCTGTGATGAATAACGGTCCTAGTGATGATAATAGTATGGTAGTATGGCACAAAAAGTATAATAGTATGGTACACAAAAAAGAATAGTTAGCCAATAAACACAAATGACTACAACAGTAGAAATGTAAGGAAAAGGAATGAGAAATTTTAAAAAAAAGTTTTGGTTTTTGGGACAAGAGTGACAACGGCAATGTTGTTATGGATGGTTGGTCATTGGTTGCGTCCCGAGAGGAAGGCCTCAACGGCTTGCAATAGAAAAATACTTCGCCATCTGAAAATTCCAAATATTCATTGGAGCAACTACCGCAGCAGTTTCCTTCTCGTCCTTCCCGTAAATCTTCGTCCGTCTTCTCCCCGTTCAGTTGAGTGCCCTTCGCATCCCATCATGAAATACCACTACCACTTCCCGATTACCTGCCAAGGATGAGGATGAGGTGAACAGGTAGCAGGAGGAAGCCAACCACCCGACCTTCTGCGACCCCGAGCCTCTCACTATTCCATCCTTCCCGTCGTTCATCGTTATACTGCTCTGCTCGGCATATTGCAGCACAACATCGGCGGTAGTAACAGTGAAAAGGGAGCGCCATGCAGCCCAGCCCACCCATCCCATCAATACACACAGACAGACAGACAGACACGCACACATATGGATGGAAGTTGGGGTGAGGGAGCCACGGCATAGTTGGCCATGTGATGAAGGATAGGTGGATCGATCCGAGCCAGGGATCTCTCGTTTCCGGGGGTTTCCGTTCGTTTCAGGTCATCCGTCCCTGAGGAAAGGATCAACGGACCGCACACAGCCCGTTGGATGTATGTCCTCCCCTCTCCCAACCACGGCGACCGTTCCTCCGAAGGAACCCATCGGCTCTATCGGCCTGTCACCGCCAAACGGCGGCACAGGCAACTCGCTCATCTTGTGCGTGCGGCGCGGAGGAACTGTGCGTCGCGGTTGCTAGTGAGGAGTGATCCAATGGATGAGATGAACCACCGCTCAGGCACTATTTCTCCCTTCGGAGCGCTATTTCTCGTGGGTGTAGACTCGTCGGAGTGAGGCACCCCACCCATCCGATATGGGCCAGTTTGCTAGCACAGAGGGAGAGAGAACGCCACACTCTCTCATTTTCAAATAAACGTCAGACACACAGATGCACACAGAAAGCTAATCCGAGTCTGCTTCGGGGAGCCACCGCGGCAAGCATCCCGGGGGGAGGGCTTCCTCGAGAAGGATGCAACGTCAGCAGGTGGCCTTTCATCCCACAACCCTCCGGTGGCCTCATGTTTTGTCATCCCAGTGTCAGGATCCTGTTAGGCAAAGTGGCCTATCATAACTAGTGCGTTGTATAAACTAATTTTTTGAAATACGTTTACAAACATGGGCACGTGAATGATAGGACTGTGAAACGGTTCCCACAGCGTAGTTTTCCTATCTCAGACTGTCTATTGTTGGACGTGACGTATTTTCAACAAAATATCGAAGGAAAGGAGGAACTTGTGAAGGCCTTTGATCGCGAAATTACGTTAAAAAACATCGAAAAAAGGGGAAGTATAAAGATTGGGAAAAAGTGAGAGACAAACAGATTCAGTCATTCACGGGTGTAATATAATTGGGAGCAAAGATCGTCTTCATTCAACGTCATCCTAAATTTTTAATTTATTTTTTTCGGATGTCGAGGTGCTCGCTCCATTTCGCTGGAAAACACCCATCGACTTCGGCCAACCCCATCATGCAATATTCCTTAGAACGTTTCTGAATCATAATTGTTTCTTATTGATGATGCTGCTGACGTGTTTTTGATAAACAATGAATTCACATAAATACCTGAAATTCTCAAGGTTCATTTATTCCTGGTATTGTGCGACACTATCCTTCTGCTTCCCATTGTTAGTTCCACAGTCTTTATCTCGCAAATGTTTTCCTTTTCTTACAATGAGTAAAAATGACTCATGACTAAAGGACCTAATGCAAAATCAAAAGATAGCCAGGGCCAATCGAAAAGCAGACCGAGCATATTTGGCGCTACAACTTATACAGCAACTCGAAAAGCGGATGTTAATTCTGGAATGCAAAGAAAAAACGATTGAGGTTGTACTGTAATCACAACACAATATTAGAGTCTATTAAATCCACAAAATCATAATCTTGAAAGATCCTTGCACATTTAATAACGAGAATGACGAACATCAATCTCAGCAAATTTTTTCACTGAATTTTGGAAGCATTTAGAGATATCAAGGTCCACATCTTTTAAACCGTTCCATTTGTGTATTACGTACGCATTGATGAAACTTAGCACGCAACAGATGGTCTTGTTACCAGGTCAACGTCGCCAGGCAGTCTGGTTATGAAACGCCTACTTTTCTGCATTTGCAATAAAACTCACCCTCGAAATTCGCAAACATTTCCCGTCCTATCCATGCCAAATATACTGTAACAAGGGCATCTACTGGTTAAGATGGAAGGGAAGGAAATGAAAACAAGAAAGGTATTAAAATGGCATTTATTACTTTAGAAAACATGGTCAGAAATATAACAACTTTAAATCACTCTTTTCATAACAACAACTAGTAACGACATTTACTATGTAGGCGTTATAAATAAAGATCTGTCTACTTTCAGACTTTTACAATCCCACAACAGTTATAATTTTTATTTCGCTTTAATTAGGAATCATTGATAGTAACTTCTACATCAACACCAGGTTCGATCGAAATGCTTGTAATCTGTTTCAATACATCACTTGGACTATGCATATTGATCAGACGTTTATGGATCCGCATCTTAAATTTAAAAAAAGCTGAAGTGAAAAAAATTCTGGACAGCTCATTTCAAATAGTCAGCATTTGAAAATAGCTATAGAATTAATTTCTATTTTTTGTTTTATCTGTCTACAACTTCTGTAACCAACAGAAAAAAAAATTAAAGTGGAAATCTCCCTTTCAATGAAAAAACCTGAACAAACAGACCTGAAATCGATCCCAAGTTTTTGAGCCTTCGCCACAAGGCGTTTTACGCGTTGTAATACGAAGTATTTTTGTGGGCATGCGAATTGGTCCCTTCACAACAAGATTCTTTTCTTTTGCTCCATTGATGAGCTGCTCACAAACTAAAATATTTTTGGAGTATATCTAGAAAACTCATCCCTGCGATTACGCTACAACATCCTGCTTTGAAATTCTGTTCCCCAAAACTGTGCTCTACATAATATGCATAAAAAGACTAAAATGTATTAACAATTATTATCTTACTGATCGAAGAAACCAAAATCTTTCCTAACTGCTACTGACCTTTCTATTACACACTCACTCCAATTTTCTACCATTTTTCTTTGAATAAAACGGTTCTATTTTCTATTTTTCACACAGAAACCGAGTATTTCACCGATGGGAATATAAGACTTAATGTCTCAAACTCTATACCATCCTTCATCAACAGTGCAATGATTGAAAAAAGTTTATGCCTTTCTCTAGCGAATACACATTCTGCGAAGTGAGAGTGATACGAATGCGATGCTCAGTACTGTCAAGAGTAATCGGTTTCTCCGTTTTATAAGGTATGCCAGCCTAAACAAAATTAACCATTATAAAAATCTGGTACACATTTTACATTTCCACTGTAAATTGAAACAAAATTGAAATCTAACCATTTTCACAAATTGAGTTTCACTGATCAGCAATATATCACGATTCACTACTTCCTTTTCCGAGCTTTTCTATGTTCAGTATCCAGAGCTAAAACAAGATGTGTGCAAACAGCGGCAAATAAAACCTGTGAAGGGGACGACTTTATTTACACAGCAACTCATAATATTTTTAGATATCAAGAATGCATCGTGAAATAAATGCGAAAGAATAATAGAAAGACGCAAAATGTGAGAGAATACTGCTCTAATTTCTCATAAGTAACAAATATATGGAATACAAAAGCTAAAACGCATCAAAAATTTTCAGAGTCCGCATAATAGCATACTTAACTTCTGACAAACATCTAGAGCTTAGATTACTGGCTAATAAAAACTTAAAACAACGATAAGCATGAATTACATTATGCTCTCGAAACAATTTTACAAGATACTTAAAAGAAAACATCTTTCCAACTCAACATAAGAGTAGTAGGTGCGTACATTTAAAATAAGTGTAATGCCACGTCTACCAGAATGTACAATCTGAAGAGTGCCTTTCAGAGCATATTGAAAAATGTCTTTTAGAGGTACTACCTGTCTTTCAGCGACTACACCTGACGAAATGTCCCCTAGATTATCTGGATTCAAGAGGAAGCCCCCGTACGTCAAAAACTAACCACCCTACGTGCCCTGCGTAGAACACTATCCAAACACCGTAACTGATAATGGGGACAGGGTCGAGTGAAGGAACAAATTACTGAGATTGCAGCATAAAATCTAATTTTTTGGTCAAATTGGTGATATAGCAAATTTGTTCTTTTTCAGCGATTTGTGCGGTTTGCGATTTCTCTTTAGAGGGAAGTCAGGTCATTGTATGGGAGTGAAGCAACATCTCATTTTTGGTTAAAGATGCTCTTGAAGATGATCTAATGAAAAATTGTTAATGAAGCAATGCAGCATTTCATCAAAAATTTTGTCTAAGCAATATTCTGGAAGTTGGCGACATTTCCAAAGTGGTTCGCGTTTTACAGATGAAGTATGGTTTTATAAGTTGCCGTGCTTCCATTTTTAATTCCTACTAGTAATAATAATTTTCACGTGAATAATGCATCATTTTGATGTTTTAACAATCAATTTCTTCAGTGACTTTTTCTAGCTCGTTTTTTTTGTAGTCTTATTAGATTCATACTTTAAAATAAATGACTGGATTAAAAAATTCCAGTCGAAATGAATTATGAAAAGAATACAGAGAGGACTGAAAGAATGGAAGGACCGATCGCTGACGTCGATGGTTCAACAATGCAATATGGGTCTGAGAAGTGTGATGAATGCCCAATCTGCTATCAGGAATTTGCATACAAAACTGAATTACCCGACTGCGGACACAAGTTTTGTTTCTTATGTATCAAAGGTTTGTTGTTATTTTTTTGCAAAATTGACGGCGATATTTATAATATTCATTCCATGAAGACTCATATACGCATCAAATTAGGAAAGGACTTTCATATCTATTTAGTATGGTTAGTTTACCGATTTTCTAACGTCCAGTAAATTCGAGGAGTGGCCCTTAGACATGGAGCATGTCCACTCTGTCGAAAGCGCATTCCTTGCAGTATATTTCTTGACCCAGTACTTACAACGTTTGCTGAACAGGTCCGTTATTTTTTCTTAACTTGTGAATTTTCGCATAAATCTTATACTGTATCTATAGTTAATTCAAATAATTTTGCTAATTCCTGACCATTTTTAGCCAACAACAATCAGAGCAGCTACTGCTGCGGAGTCAATAGCCGTTGCGGCGGAAAATATTGATGATAGTCGGAAAAAGAATGAGAACAAAGTGCAGTGGTTTTACGCGGTGGTTACTTTACTGTTGTATCTTGGTTATTTTCTGTATAATGCTCTATTCTTTTAAGATAAAATAATTTAAAATATTTCCTTTTTTAAAATTTTAAATGTGTTATATTACAAGTAATGACATTGTCTAGGCTCGTCATGGAGGTTGGTGGCGTTACGAAAGTCGACATGAAAACGAAATTGAAGAAGCTTATCAGCATGGTTTGCGCAGCATTGATTTACTCATTGCGGGCAACTTGTTTAGCATTAATTTTGACAGTATGTGTCAATACAGAAAAGACTTTAGCAGGTATGGTATGCCTGTGTTCAATTTGAGAAAAATGATGTGAATTCTTTGATTTTTTTCCATTAACAGCGTAAGAAAAGTCATTGTAAATTTAAGTTATCAAATATTGAAATTTTGCCAGAACAAAATTCTTGCAGATGTAATATAATGAATAATTCAGATTTAAATATCGACTAATGAAGCAAATGTTTGCATCACAATTCATATTTATTTATTTATTAGCAACTCCTCTACTATTTCTGTAGGAGAGGTAGACATACTCGTCCAGTAAAACGAATTGAAGAAGGAGACCCTGGTTTGGATGGTGCAGTTCGTGGTATTGCTGGCCTACGTACATCCATTGAAGGAAATACAAACATGAAGTAAGACATGGCTGGAGATTTCGAAGCAGTTACTGAAAATCTGAGTTCTTTGGATTTTAAAGATTAAATCTTAATAATTCTTTATATTAGGAAGAAAAACCGATAGGTAGCCTTTTATTTATTTTGTTTGTAGTATCCTTTTCCCAAAATTAAAATTTGACATTTCCGTGAATATTAAGCATGACTAACCTAAATCATTAGTGAGAAATTTCTAGACGAATTACCTGAAATTCTGAAATCCACTTCTAAGTGATATCCAAGTATGAATTTCCTTATTTCTCTTTATTAATTATATTTCCATGCTTCTCAATATTCTACTGAATATTAGAGCTGATTCAAACCATTAAAAATATCTCTTCTGAATGAAGTTCAGAAAGTATGTGCCATAAGGAAAACGGTAATGCGAATAATAATATCAGCAGTGTGTCCTCATGAAATGAGTGTGGTTTTAGTATTTGTCTAGAATTTTAATGCATTCTCTTTTTTTAGAGAGAAATTTAGTTTAAAAATGCCTGATTTTATAATTTGGATAGAAATTTTTTTGGTATGCTGAAGTACGGAATTTTTTTTTTTTGAATATTCATTTTATCTGCACGTTTACTTTCATAGTAATTTTTATATTACTGTATCACAAAATAAATATTTTATTAATAATTTTACCTTTTTTTAAAATTAATGTGGTTCAATTTTAAGCGTTCTGGGTACTTCTCTGAGCAGCAGTAGTTTTACAAATAGTTTAAATAATCCAAGCTGACTATGAAGTCCTGCATTATATTTCACGATTTTTGGTTGCTTCAAAGAAAAAAAAATTCTTAAATGCCACATCTGATAGTTTTACTGATTTGAATTGTTTGCATCAGACAGTCCAATTTTTTGAATCTGGAATTCACACTCGAACGGCAATCATAAACTTGCAGAGGCTTAAAAGACCGATAGTATAGCTGTGATCATGTGCAGTCGTGTAGATTTGAAGACAAAATTTGAGAATATGTTTTTTTTTCCGGTTGATATACTCAACATGGAAGATGGTATATATCAAATAATAAGGGAAATCAAGAAATAACATTGAAAACTACAGTTAGATGATATTAAATTAACCATTATCAAGCATTAGTGGATTTTTATGCTTAAAAATTCGTTATGTTGACCCGATTGTAAACACATATGGCAAGTTCTGTTTTGCATGAAAATTCTGTCATAAAAGTTATTATTGCAAACAATTTTGCCTCGCCCAAAATTATTCTGATCTTGGAAGCACAAAATGAACAATTATGAAACAACTTACTTTTATTTGTTTTTTCAATAATAAAAGTAAGTTGTTTCTTAATTGTTCATATAATCGTCTCAATCCAAAACTGTATATGTGTAAATCTATCCATTAACTCACCAAATAATAATCCTCTCAGTTCGAAATTGTGTAGTGTGTAAATCTGTCCATTAGCCAGACCATCTCGATACTTATGGCAATCGAGAAATTCGATTTCGAAATTAGTTATTTGATCTGGAAAAGTAAACGGAAAAACGATGTACAATTAACGTTCTAAATGCAATAACTGAAAACTTAACAGGATGTTGCATTTCACAAAACATAAATTTATACACAGAACCTTAACTCAGTAGTTTGTGGATGCATACATATATCTATATCAAATAAAAAATATATTGATTGATTTCCTTAGCTGTCCCAATTATTAAAATTTTATTCGGATTGAAAAGTTTGAAATGATATTCAGTAACTAATCAGAAACATTAATTTGTTGAGATTTTCACAATACTTTTTATTCCTTTTTGTATAAGCCATCACACATTATATATGCAAAAATACATAGTACATCATGTGGTTTTTTTGGGGAATTAAATAAAGATTATTAAAGAGTGTGAATTTTAATTTTAAAATTATTCGAAAAATTCAAAGAAAACAAAAATATAATAGATTGTGGATTTGTAGCAAGAATATAGATTGAATGAACACTTATATTGCTGGAAAAACAAGAATATCACGGAATACAGGTTCGAAGATTTTCTGATAGCTTAAAATATTCTTGCCTTATACGACTATCTTTCTGTATATTACTGATGACACTGAAATCTGAAGATCTGTTATGAGTAGTAGACAAATATGAAGATTGCGATCATCTCGAAATAACCAAAGTGCTATGTAAGTCTGAATGGTGTGACTACAAACAAGGATGGAAATACTAGCATGATCAGTGGACATCTGCTTAAATAGGACAATGGTAACTGTAGCAATAAGTACGCGTAACTTTTCCCTTAGTAATCAACGTCTCAGTTAAGCGAAAAAAAGAAAACAAATGATAGGAAGATGTTGCAACTCATATTATTAACCTTCCTTTTCGTATTTCCTATCTAATATCCATCATCGCTCCAGCCTATTTTTCTCTTAAAACAAATAAGTAGATCATAAAAATTATATTCCATAAAACACTGACTAATTTCATCTCATATTTTAGATGATAAATGTTGCAATGCAAATTTTCAATTATTTCTGCACAGAAATTCCATTACTTTCTCTTTCTTTCCTCAAATGAAAAGTTACGCGACTTTAATCGCCACTTTAGAAGAAATTTGTTGAAATCATATTAATAAAATAAATCTAAAAGCTCTATTGAAATTTTGAAATCTCTAAAGTTTAGCGTACTGTTTGGGATTTCATAAAGTATACTACTTCAATATCACTAAAACGTTTCTCTCTATGATCAATGTATAGCAGTTCACAAACCCAACAGTCAGTAGAATCAAATGTTACAAATATCATTCATATTTCTGAAACAAGTGATTAAAAATGTTTTATCATTTACTATTTACTTTATAGCTTTGGCCTTAGTGATATCGATTTGCAATTAAAAGTTTTTTTCATGACATTTCAATCAATCTTCGGCATCATTTTTGCATTCATGTAAAGAAATGCAAAGCGATTGTAATTTCTAATTATTTAATATTGTATCCTTTATAGTACTTGTGATGCATTATTACACTTAAAACATTTACTGGTAATTTATTACATGATGCAATAAATGAATTGACAACTTCTTTCAAAAATTTTTCCAACTTATTAACATTAATCAACTCAACATGCAGTTTATAAGTATAGCATTCTCGTACGGAAGATGTACATGTCCATACTGCAAAACTATCTTATCACATACAATCAATGACTTTCCATACTTTTCCAAAATAATTTTTTATCCATAGAAATTAAAAAGTTTCACATTTTGCTCCATACTCAATCACAAACAAGTCTACAAAATATATTATTACACTATCATTTTATAGTTTCATGTTAAAAATTCTTCATTTACAAGGAATCTGCTAAATCCATTGCGGAGAACATCATTGAGAATTCTCTCCTCAAGCCAGTCAACAATTTCTTTCACGCATTCCACCACCATCAGAGAAATTCGAAAACACATTTTGAACGATAAGAAGCGCTCATTTCAAGTTGATGATTTCCACTTTAAATATCGAGTTGATAAGTATAAAATGGCAACAGCATCTTATTTACAATGCAGTGCAATTTAAGATTGCAGCAAAGGAAATTTTACACTCTGTCCTTTTGAGCAAAGCATTGGAAGGATCATTCGTTAATGCATTGGAAGATTTTCTTATAAAATTCGATTTTTCGGGCCACTTATTTCGAAAGAAAAATTTTAGATTTTGAACTTTCAACATTTATTCAAGCATTATATATAAACAATTTTAGAATCATTTTCTCCTTGTCCTCCAAAAATTATTTTTCAGATAAATTTTAGGATTCTGTTTTTGAAAATCAATTGACCTATATCCTCGGTTCTCAGCTCGATTCCACAAGATTTATTGCTCATAAAAAAGGAAACAACATCCTTTTACAATGGTTTTAAAAATATAAATCTACCATCTACCAACTCCCTTACATTCAATGAAACTTTCATTACTTTTTGCTTCAAAATTATTAAAATTAATCTTTGTTCCTCTCGTTCCCTTTTCAGAATAAAATATGAAAGCAGCATTTGCTGCGGCAGCAATTGGTAGTGCTTGTGCTATTATATTGTCGTTAATTGCTGTTGTACTTATCTTCCATGACATCAATGAAATGGAAGAATTTAGAGTAAGCTATCAAGATCATATGAAAAATGAGGCGCAAATATTTTATAAAAATATTAATCTAAATAATTTTAATTCAGTACTTAATTTGTAAAGCATATACATTTAGGTAACAGCAGAAGATATCTGGCGCGAAATTACGTATGTAGAAGTATATTCTCATAATGCTATAGAAGCAGCACCTTTTACGCCAAGCTTTTTATTTCGAACCAAAAGACAGAACAACCGGCGTAATAAGTTTTTCCCTGATTGCATTACTTTACTCATTTCATCGAGATTATCTTAATTCTAGAAAACTCTTAGTTTTTTTTAGATTTAGATAGAACATTTTTCTAGATTGTGATCCATCACCGAACAAATGCCCAAAAGGACCACCAGGACTACCTGGTAAGAAGGGCGAGAAAGGTGCAGATGGATTGGCGGGACTGGACGGTATGACTGGATCATTCAACATTCCAGAAGGTTGCATCAAATGTCCAGCTGGCAAACAGGGACCACCCGGACTAGAAGGTCCAGTGGGGCCACCTGGACCAAAAGGTCCTCCTGGTGTACCAGGAAAGGATGGCAAACAGGTCAAAAAGGGCCAAAAGGTGATGCTGGTCAGATCGGCCCTGAGGCCCACAAGGAAATCTGGGCCGCGATGGTAAGGATGGCAAACGTGGGATCAGACCGCCAGGCAAGAAAGGACCAACCGGGAAAGCCGGGCCAGAAGGTCCTAAAGGCGATGACGGTAAAGATGGAGAAATTGGACCACAGGGTGAACCGGGACTAGATGGTAAACATGGTGCAGACGGACACGATGGTAAAGATGGAAAACCGGGCAAAGTAAATTTTCTCAAAATATTTCATACTTCTTCAAATTCTTTCCGACATTAACATTTCTCAAGCTTTTGAGGTCAAGTTTCAGCAACTTCCACTTGTTTTCAGCCTGGTATTGCTGGAATGTCCGGAACAGATGCAATCTACTGTCCATGTCCACCTCGCGCACAAAAGGCACCCGCGCCACCACTGGCTCAACGAATCACAGAAAGGTGAAGAACCACAGGATGGCTAGAAGCAGAAGAAAAAAATGCAAAAGAAACAGTGACAGTTATCAACTCTATTATTTCTATAAGAATTTGCATTTAATGTTTTTTGCAGGAAGAAAGAAGAGAAAACAAGCATTCTGCGAAACTCATAAAAATTTCTCTAGCGGCTTCCTCAATTTCTCTAGCCATTTACGAGAGCTATAGACATAAATACAATAGCACAAATGAAAGAAATTCCTAAAATATCCTGAATATGAAGCTTTAAATGCGAAGTTAGTAAGCTCCGCTACAAACCAAAAATTTTTCTGTATGCGCCAATCCACATTCTTCGTAATAATATTAACCTAAATAGTTATTAAGTTACCGAAGTGAATACTTTTGAAATATCCTAATTAATTATTTTGGAGAAAAGACAGTCAATTTGGACTCTCAAAAAGAATACATTTCAACATCAAGTTATGCTTTTCCTGAAAAACAATTGAATATAGATATGTTTGCAATGGAAACTTTATACTAGCCGGTATAAAAGGCACTCAGTCAGTGCACTGAATAAATCCGCCAGGAATACCGGTAAACAAGAGAAAAAAGTGAAAATGAGATCAATATAAGAATGTACAACAAATCAAGACATTAAACGTCAGAACCTTATTTGTTAATCAAATTTCAAATTAGATTTGATCACAAATTACTTTAACAGTCACGATTTTTTGAACGACGATAAAGCTCGCTAGCTTTATATCCATTTGTTACCAGTATCGTCCATATGTTGTAAAAGGCTTAGCAAAAATGCTAACCTTTGCCTTAACTCATCAATGGGAATTTCAGGTAATTCTAACTGTATTGATGCCAGTGTAAGATCTATGTCAGGTCCGTTTTCCTTATGAATATATAGGATTTTTCGGTCTTCTTCGATTGTCCATTTCCTCGTTGAATTCATCATAACCGGACAAGGTATTTTGCACAAAGGATTGACAACTAATCCAGCCTCTACAATTCTAGATTCTGCAATATTTTCTAGCAAACCATCAGCACCACTTCCAGAACTTCCATTCAAATTTGCACCAGAATCAGCAATGTAATTCACGACTAAATTGGTATCATCATTCTCGGTAAAAGTACTCTGCTTCATTGCAATTTCTTCGCTTTTTTTCCGCCTTTTTTTCGTTCCAGCTACCTTTGTTGGTTGAATGGACCGTTTTCGAACAAACTGCAAGGTTGTAGCATTCTTGCTTGGGCAATCAATGCTCACAACATCAGCTGTTCGGTCTTGTAGAGATGGACGATTTATGCCTGGTATTTTAACTGACATTTTCGATAATTTCGCAATTTCTACTCTATTCGATACTTTGTATTTGCGTTTCTTTGCTCTTCTTGTTGTAGGTCGGCGTCGTGGAGGAGCTGGTGGAGTAATTTTCGTTTGCTTCCATTCTGCTACAACTTCATATAGCTTACCTCTGAAATATACTAAATTTAAATCAAGTTAAAAAAGAACAAAAATACGAATTTAAATTCTTGAAATGAAGTCTCAAATTTTCTGCATTTTTTTTACATATAAAAAATAATAGAGTTTAGTTTTGGAAAAAATTGAGACATTACGGCATTATCAATGCTATAATAAAATGTATCAATAGTCCATTAGGAAAATTTACTTTCGCTCAGTAAAGAGATTGCGCAAAAAGCCAACAAAAACTCCCGAACGCTGTTTCTCCGTTTGAGCACCAATCGCCGTGGTAAGATCAACATTTTCATAGGGCGCATCCACTTTTTTCCAATTGCACAAATCAACATATTCAAAATCCGTTACGGAATAACTAAAATTTGTTTAAATATTGCTATAACTATATCCCAAAATCCTCTGAAACCATAATCATTAACTTGATGAAATAACCAATGACTTTCATCAGAGTAATGTATAGACATTCAGATATGCTGACGAAAATTACAGAATGATCTCACTAATTTAAACAAAAATCGACAAATAACGGTAAATGTATAGCAACAGCAGTAATTGAATAAAATAATAACATTAAAATTACTTCGATTGACAAATACGAGTTGGAATATTTTGTGAAATGATTTCCCATAACGGGCCCTTATTACCAATCAATTCAAACAAACGAGTTGTTAACGCTTCACATGTACAATCGAATCCTGAAAATTAGTTCCTAATTGATTCAAAAGTATTTCTTACTTCGATATTTCTTACCCCACATAAATAAAAAAATGGCCAAAGCTATACTAACGAAATTGTTGTACATTGCAAAAAACTTCGAATTTATATTGATGTTATATGATCACATTTTCTGAAAAGAATTCTCTTCCTTCCTCTTACTACGGTTCAATTAAAGAAGCTGGTGAAGCATCAGATTTTTCAAATAACAAAATATCCTGAATGAAAGGATTAGTGGCAGTTAACACTGCAGGAGAAAAACCTTTCTTACCGAGATCACGTACGTTGCGAAATATAGTGCGTGCGGATAACCTCGTGTTTCCAAAAGATGTGAATGCCTGTAAGAAAAGAATTGGTGGATGAAAAAGAAGTTAACAAATAAGCATAACATGTATAATTTCAAACTCCTTTTCGTGATTAATTGATTGCAATAATCAATATTTCTTACTCTCAAGGAAAAGTTCACAGAGCACAGTTCAAATGGTCTATTTCACTCATTCTCTACTGAAGCTTAAAATAATTCAAATTTCTCATTGCCATGCTGCCCTCAGTCCTCAGCGTTAAATCAATTTTGTAGCATGTACACTTGTGGAGAAAATTCTCTTATGTTTTAAGAAACAAACCTCTATATTATATATCATCTCAAAGGCATCATTGTAAGCTTTACGAATCGGATTTTCAAGAACACTTGCTGGAAGTAAATTTTGTGGAAAAAGAAAAGAGAGAAGAAAATATATCGGTTCATGTTCCTCCTCGAAAATATCATGCATTCTTTCAAACATCTGAAATTTAACTGTTATTGAAAAATAAATGATAAATTTTCATCGACTTATGTTATAAAACAAAAATACTTCGTTAAACAAATAAAATGAAAGTTACTTACTTCTGGAGACATCGAGTCTTCAGCGATCAGTTCGCAAAAAGCTCTTACTTTATCCTGATACATGAACATACGTTGCTCAAAATCATTAAAAATGACATGCGCCATACACTTTATTTGAAGTGCACGGTGTTGTGCATCAAGCATCCCATGCAATCCATCTCTTACACGATCTTTGCGAGTGCGTACACGTCTCCGTCGTTTTTCTTCATCTATAGGTCCATTTCCCTCGCCATCACTACCATCGCCCTAAAAATTATGTAAAAGATGAATATACTATAGAATAACTATGTTGCAATATATCTTTCTTGCACCGTTTTGAGACATAAAATAAAACAAAGCTCTAATTAATTAAATGACCAATCCAAGATGAAAACATACTTCTTTATCGCCAGGTAGTGATGACTTACTACTATCTGCTGTACCAGCCGGTAACTCTTGTTCATCTCTGACACTTTCACTACCCCGACTTCCGTCATTCGATACTGTCTGCTCATTCTGTCCCTGTTTTGCTCCATCAACTTCTTCATTATCTTGTGCAAAAGGAGGATCACTGCAGTGAACAAATTCAAATCGAATAGAGTTAGCAATCGAATCGCATGGAATATCTTGAGTTATGTTATCCTTGGTATTCCCCGAGATTTGAGTCATCTCGTTATCACAATTGGAAGCTGTAAGATCACACTGAATAGCTTTATTTTCCGTGCCGAACATCATGAGATTGCTATAGTACGATGAGTTTGTTGGTGTCCATCTGAAAATGTTTAAAATTCAAAAGTAATATTATTATTTGCAAAATAATATTTTTTAAAAGTTCGTTTTTTACAATTCCAAAGATGTAACACAAAAATAAAATACATTTATCATACCTTACTAGATCAGAATATTCAATATCACCACTCGGAGTATTGGGAACCCATTTTGCTGAAAAAGCGATAAATAATTTTCAAGTAAATAACAAAGAAAGCCAACTGTAATTAACTAAAGAGACCAGACCAGCATATCATAAATGATTTTACAAAAAAATTCTGCCATTGGATATCAATGTTATATCTTTTCTTACCTTCTCATGGAAGTAGTAATAATATCTGAATCAAAATCAAATCTATTTTACACATTTTTTAATCAAAACTAGTATGTTCATTACATGATTTATATATCAATGAAGAACATTCAGGCATTTCACAAGAAATTTCTGCATCAGAACACGGTGAGTTGGATGTCTTTTGATTCAAGTGTTGATTTTCTCGATAGTCTTCATGATAATTACCTAAAATCGATGGGAACAATTTTTTGAAATTTCCAGCAAATATACAATTTACCACAATTCATGAAATGATGAAAAAAATTTTCCTCAAAAATTACGAACTTCAAACACAACCAATAGAATTGCAAACAAAAGAAAAGGTTTCAAAATACCTTCTGCAACGCCATAAATCTCTTTAACTTTTTCAATGACCGTAGAACATGGTGAAGTGCCATATTTCACTTGGACTTTTTGTTGTGTATTAGCTTTCATAGACCATGCACAGTCAAAATTAGTGGTGCTAAAATGTGGCAAAGCGTCATTATTGCTATCACGCTCTATTCTTCCAGGCGACTGTTGTAAACAAATCGAATTTTCGAGATCTAGCGAAAGTGATGAATCCACCACGACTTCTTCACCCGAGATACTTGATCCCACACTTTCATCAGTTTCATCAATCATTTCAATTTCATACTGATCCGAATCAAAACTTTCTTCGTAATCAGTCATGTTTAATTTTTCAGTCGGTGGCATCTTTTTGAATGGTGCGAGTTTTACTGGCTTGGTTGCACCAACGTTTCTGACAAGATTTACTGATTCTGCAAAAAACCAGGAAAGTTAATAATTTTAGGCAGTAAAATATTGTCCATTAAAACTAATCTATAACAAATCTGATAAAATTCCAATCTCAGAGATGGCGATAGTTCACCGTGAACTTAATAAGTTTTAATAAAACATTTTACAAACAAACAGATACCACTCGCAGACGATATGATTGTTGAGCATTGTGAATAACTTGCTAGTGATTCCTCATTAGCAGGCGACACAACCCTTGAATGAAGCGAGACCAATGACAAGGGTTTCTCATTTAATGCAGTTATTAAAGAACATGAGATTGGTGATGGTAATCTACTATGCCCAACTGATATAACTGCTAAGCGATGCGAGGTTTGTGACGATCTTCTACTTGCAGGCGACATAACTACCGACGGGTGTGATTGCGAAAGTAACGGACTCGTTGCTTCACATACTGGAGTAGATGAAAAAAGCAAAAGATTGCGAACAGGTGATGATGGAATTCCATTTATTTCAGTATATTCTGAAAGAAATATTTATTATGTATAATGATTATTATCATGATTGCAGACCTTCGCACTCACACTCTGTGTAATAGTGAGAAACGCAAAACTTCATACCACTTCCAATGGGTGCAAAGGCAGTGTTCGTTGGTCTATTCATGCTGGCCTCGAATTGCCCAGTTCGAGTGTTGTCAGTATCCGAAGCGATCGGCATGGATGTTTTATCAGAAGCCCAATTCTCTGCATCTATTGTGCGACGTTCAGAAAAACTGTTTGGAAGAGAACTACTATCTGAATCTAAACGACCCTGTAAAGACGACCATAGAAGAATGGTTATTTGGACAAAATTAATTGAAGCAAATTCGGGAAAATTCTGGCTGCCGATACCAAAGAATCCAATTTAACAAAAAGTAGAAATCTACTCTAAACAATTCGTTAATATAAATTGTTTTAGGATATCGTAATAAAAGACATCTTACCATTGATGGAGAATCTATCTCATCACTGATCTTCACAAAAGTCAAACCATCCAGTGCGAGATTTTCACAGTCTAAATCATACTGTTGTCTGTTGACAAGTTCCTACAACAAAAATCAAATGTTATTGTTTTAGTCCAACAACTACAACACAGATCACTACTGAACATCGCAGACTTTAACAATTTAAAATTAATTTCACACAAAGAAACCTTAAGCCATCTCGGTTGAAGATATTGTGGCCATAAATATGGTGGACCAGAAATCGCGGTCGATCTGTTTTCCAGAGGAAAAATCATATTTACTATTCCCGTTTCAGCTTTCTGGAAAAACATTATTAAAGCTTTGTATAAAAATTCTCACTTCTGCGCTGTCTTAAAGAATCAATAGTTCCACAGAAAACATTTTTTAAATCCCAAGCAAAAATGGTATTCATACCAAGAAAAGTGTATGTACAGGTTGGTTGCTGAAACGAAAATTCTTCAGATGCAGCCGTATCTGTGACTGCGTTTTATTTGCCAATAAATGCTGACTGATCAATGAATAACATTTTCTTTTTCCAGAAAATTGCTTCAAATGAGCGAACTGACACAAACCAAGGGCTAGTAGACACTCTTCCTCTCGAATAAAATATTGATAAAATGAAGGAAACATCTTCATACCAACCTAAATGTAAATGTATTTTCTTCACTGCAAACACAAGGCATATTTTTATAAAGAGTCCTTTATTTAAAAGAGCAAGAAAATCATACTTGTGGTAGTAATTCAGGAAATAGCAACGCTTTACTTCGAGAAAGAACCAACATCGTTTTTGGTAGCGGAAACTCCACTGAAAATTCAAGATATGACTAACAAATCATCTCTACCTTTTTTCGTCAATCTCTCAAAAAACAACGTACATTTCCTGGATTTTCGCTGATGAATAATAAAGTCACTGATAGTTTCACATTCGATCGCATCGTGGCATGTAGCTATACAAGCTTCCAAATTTACAACATTAAATAAAGAATGTTCCGGACGCTTCAAACAGTAATCGTTCAACTCGTTCTACAACACAGTAAATGGTACAGAACCAAATTTTGTATATACAAGATGAAAATAATTTCTGGGTACTGAATGTACAAGCTATGCATAATCGATTATGATATCAAAATTGATGGATGATAAAAATTTAGTCTTTATCAGTTTCTTAACAAAGAATTCCGAAAAAATCTTAACAAAGAATTATTATAAAAAAACTGAAACTTACAATCATAATTTGGAAGGCATTGTATATTTCAATCATTGCTTTATCGAAATAACAGCCTATTGCAAACTGAGTTAGAAGCTGCACATGCTAAAAGTACCATAATTTCCATATAAACAATAATTAGCCAAAAAAATGTAACTGGTAATATTTCTAAATTTCAGCAAAAATATAAAGCACAAGGATGCTAGTTTTCATATTTTGCAAGATAGTTGGTACAAAATAAAAGGATTCTTTCATCAAAAAATAAAATTTATAAATGCTCTAAAATAGAAAAAATACAAGCCTAAACTAAGAGGTAAGAGAAAAAGGTGAGGATTAATACTTTTTCTAATTGTGCGATAAGTTGTTGCAGTTCATAAAACGAAAAGAAAGGAGGATTTTCAACACTAGCACACAAAAGAGATGAAGACGTTGTTGAAACTTTCTGAAAATCATCCACAGATGCATTCACAAGAATGGTGGTTGGTTCAATATTTCCTGGTGCAGATTCCGCAAGCACTGCTTTGATCTTCTTCATATTCAGCTTATGATCATCCTTCCTAGCCGACTGGCATGATTTATTTTCATTCTAAATAAAAAAGTATCATCCCCATAGCAGCTCACTTCAAAAATTCAACTAAACAGAAACGTATTTCAATCAAGTTGAATACTGTCTGGATTCCTGTGAATAAATTTTAATTATATATAAAATTATATGATTAAGATAAATAAAAACACCATGATGTAAACAAATATGATCGACATTAATTCTTAATTTCATTTCCGAAGAATATTTTAAAAATCACCTTCACGAAATCGATGGTTTGCTCCAAGTGTTCAGATGAAGGCAGCAAACGAGCCTCCAACAAGTCTTGCAACAAGTTTTCAACTTCTCGCACTGCAGAGAAAATAATTTTTCAAATTTGATGATTACCTCTTTACAATAAAATTCTGTGTAATACATAAGTTACGAACAAAACAAGAAAATATACTCACGCGGTATTTCTGTAGCGCGATCTTTCCGTACTTCGTACTCTTCTATTATGTCTTCGGTGTCTGCATCCGCAAGAAAATTATATTCGGGATCCTCAGCCTCTGAAACATCTTACAAAAATAAGTATTCACAATACAAACATTATGATTACTTCTGGAAATACGATTAGAAATACAGCTATTCAAAACGACAAACGATAAATAAGTACCATCAAGATCATATTTTGAGGGATCATTTAGATTTGAAATGAACTCCACATACTCCGGATCATCGACTGCAGTATACAATAAAACATCATCACCAAAACTTGGCATATCTTCCGGATAAATGTTACTTTCATGTTTTGAGCGTGTATGCAGTGCGGGTGCAACATCATCATCATTATTGACCTCTACCTGAAACAATGAATTAATTACGCCATTTTATGTGTCTCTTTAATTATATAAAAACCTTTTCTTCATCTAGAATTTTTGTATTTAATGCAAAGGGATCAATAAAGTACACCTGAAGCGCATTACTCAAAATTTCAAACGAAATTTTCCTATTATCTGCTTCATTTTCTACTTCTCCTTCGCTTGCATCCTCATCCTGAAAACACAAATAAAATTAGATACATATAAAAATTCATGCAAATAGTGACTCGCACAATCTATTAATTGCTTTTATTATATCTTTTAACGAAAAAACTAAAGGTCAAACAAAACATTGAAATTCTCAAGAAACTTGAACAGTAAAAAAATAGCACAGTGTACCTGTTCAGGGAGATAATCAGCATCATCATCTTCATTGGAATCATAATCAACATCAAGAAAAGTTCGTGAAGCACGAGATACAGTCACAAGGCCTTCTTCTTTTTGGCCAGTATGCTGCAAAAAATTCATTGAATAAAAAATCTAAGTAATAGAAACAAATATTAGAATTTTAAATGAAGTTAACAAAAAAAACCAAAAGAAATGAACAAACTTTACTGGTTAATTCGCATTGTACGACTCACCGTCTCTTGTTTGGACAAATGTTTTGTTTTTGATCTGGTCAACTTCAAGTCTGCAATCGCAGAGCTTTCATCCAATCCCATAATAACAGGTATCACTTGAGGATTTTTTATCATATGCTGCAAACAGTAGTAAAATCCTTATTAAAAATAAAAATAGCAAAATCCTTATTTCAAAAGCCCTGGAACAGTGGGACTTTGATATTTATTAGTCCAAATTATTCCGAAATAATGCAGCCCCTTCCCCATCTAAATTACCTTCCCTCCAGTCTTTCTATTAGTTCAGTAAGAAGTGATTATTTCTCCATATCCATTGAAAAAAAAGCTTACGTGCAATATGGACTTGACATTAATAGCTGTAAGATTAAGTGATTTGGCTTTCATTTCCAACTTCTCGTCCATATGTTTCCACATCTTGACAATTTCTTCTCTTTCTTTGATTTCTTCTTTTTCATTATCACACCTACTCAAAACACTTTCACCAATGCTAATTTCTCTATTCATTCCCTGAAATAACATTCACTTTGGATTCTGTGAGCCACACTAACAGATACGCTCGCTCTCCTAATTTCTTAATCTCAAAGATATGTTAAGGAAATACTATCATAGAACTAACGAAAAAAAAACCTATCTTCTGAAACTACTTTTTGACCGAGTGAAAAAGCCTCCAAAACACCCAAAAATGTGCAAAAGTCTAGTACTATATTTCTTCAACACTGTTACTACTTCATTTGTTAAATAAATCACCATATCATAGAAAAACGCCTAAATCTGTCTCCCGAGGCTTATTACTGAAGAGTGTGCTTCAAAATAATTTTACAAGAAACCTCTCTTATGCTTCTGCTTATAGTATAAATTTCGATAAGCACTTAATGTGTTTTGTTAAAACGCAACGCAAAATTAATTAAACAACAAGAAACTATTTTTGTGTGCTTTTATCTGAAGCAAAGGAAAAACTAAAGCATCTATAAATACTGACAAATATACAACATTTCGACAGCAATCTCCTTTATGGCAAACGAAACAAAACAAAGTGAAAATAAGCTGAATTGTGCCATGGGTGGAAAGGACAGCTGAGTGAAAATGTATAAATAAATTACAACAAAGTCTCCAAATCACAGTACATTAAAATTCACAAAAGTATTAACTGACGGAAAAGAGAAACGAAATCATATTGAAGCGGCACTGTAAAAAAAACACGAAGAACACCGAAATCTAACAAAAAGACCAGCAACTTACTTAGCAAGATAAAAGTTGCCACAAGCATACACAAAATGCAGGTGCAAAAGACAGATACACCTGGAAATAAATTTTAGGATAACAATATACTTATACTGAGCTTTTAGAAATTAGCAATATAACACAATTATAGCATAGCACAAAAGCAGGACAGTGAATTACCATAAAAGTAACGCACTATGATGACACTTAATCACAAAATAATTTTATAAAATTCTACTGTGATGAAGTTAATTCAAAAGTCTTCTGTTTCAAAGACATTTGCAGTCATAAAAAAGGATAACATTTCAAACAAAATAATAAACGAAGAAAAACAACTAAAAAATATAGAAAGCCTAGCTGTTTAAAGATACCTTTAACAATATGTTAAAAATGAAAAAATACCTATTTGAGAAAAAATTAAATTTTCCTCAAATTTGACTGTTTAATGCAACTAGGCTTAGAGTAATAATTTGAACGAAGAATTAAGAAAATACAAAGGATTGGGACAGAAGGAAACGATAAATGAATAATTAAGACACATACGAAGATAAAGAAACAGAGCGAATGAAGGATATATTTGCAAGAAGCAAGAAAGTAAAGGGTAACTATAAACTCATAATTTAACCTGAATTTTTACAGAAAACTAAGAAAAGACTTTGTGAATTTTTATTCGAAGCAACAACTATAAATCTTCGAGAGTGTGAGATTTACATTCAATACCTAAGAAAAATAAATATTTTAAAAAACTAATAATTAAGACCCTGATAGTCAATATTAACTGGACAAAAAAACAAGCAAAGAGATTTCTATTCAGAATCAGAGACTGACTTGCATTCAGCTGTTATGCGACCTTCGTATACCGGTAATATTGTGGCATCGTCGTTCACAAGGAGCAACTGATAGGGTGAATTACCATCTTCACAGGCAGTCTTGAAATAAAATCTGGAATGGATGAAACAATGAAAGTTGAATGTACTTCAGAAGTGTTTCAAAAAAAAAGATTCATACAATCTAGTAATTTACAAGATATATATTGATATATAGTGAAGTAACAGGAAATGAATTTAAAGAAATGGATTCAATATTTGTGAAAAAAACTAACTGTAAACTTGATTTTGACGAAATCCCTAAGTATTTACGAAATTCTCGAAATGTGATCGGATGTGTTGGAACATGTGCAACTACTGGTACACGACCTTTCTCTTTGTAGCTAATAGTCACTAGCTGTTTTGGGTCTGTTCCTCCTCGTGAACGCCTAAACAATTTTATCATAAAAAATGAAGTGAGCTTATTTCAAATCAAAAAACTAAAGTGCAAAAAGAACAGTACTAGATATAAGCAGTATCTTCAAATGTTACAATAGCAGCCAGCTTACGATAGAGAATTGAAATCGTGATGCTGCTTGTGGCTGCTTCTACGACCAAAACTACTACTGCTTACACAACCACCATATGAAAGCATTCGCGCTTTTTGAAAGATAGCGGCACGTGCTGCTTCATCCCGTTCACTTACAGATGACGGAGCCATTGATTCGATACCCGATGTGTCATAAATAGCCATGGACTTCATATCACATCTAGAAATATACATTGTACTGCGAAGCCCTCTCACTCTCTACCAGAAAATTATATTCAACATTAATGAGATCCAAACAAATTCTATTTTACTAATTGAATATGCTCTCAGTCTTTTTTGCATAAATCATCTAATTCAATGGAAAGACATAAACATGACTTATCAGTTCCCAACCGGTTCTTATCAACTATTGCAGACATTTACCACCAAAAAGTAACAAACTCAGAATATAATAACTATTTTTGCATATAATATCCAATTAACAATAACAAATTCAAAAAAAAACTTATTATTTCGTACAAGTGTAAAGGTCAGTAAATGCAAATTCTCAATAAATTTTAAAACTGACTTACCGTGCTCCTTTCAGTACAGCAGGATTAACGTTTGTTATTCGATTGTGTCGACTAATTGGTGGCGGTGCAAAGCCATTTGCGCTATACGGATTCGATGAATAAAATACATTAGCTATAGGTGAAGCAACGTACTGGCGAAAGCGTTCCGGTGAACTTGATCCTAAAAATACAGGATACAAAAAATTACTGTAACAGATGCATTATTGACACAGATATCAGGAGAAATATGGTTAAAAAACGGTGTTAAATTTGATTAAAATTAATTCTATATTTTAGAAATATTCAATGAAATGTGGAGTAAATTTTACTTGGTGATCGTCGTCGAAAACGAAGAGACTGAGCATTCAGGGAATCCGGAGAATGATACGAAGGTGATGGTTTATTAGAATCATCAGCCATTCTTTGCCGTACATACCGTTCCAGTTCATCGTCTTCTTCAGCAGCTGTTGGTTCAACGTCATTCACAACCTCGCGTGCAGAGCACTTATGACTCTGCAGAAAAGGTCAGCAATAAGTTTACTTGAATAATTTGGAAAAATGTAAAAGAAAAGGAAGATGATTTTTTGTGTGAATCACTAATACTTTCTATTGGAAGCAGTTACACTTCACCTCAATAGCACGAAGTTGCTGGCTCATGACATCATTTCTCTTTCGACGGGCACTTAAAACATTCAATTTTTCGATTAGAAGTGCAGCAAAAGCTCTTCGTCCTTCCTCTGTGCAGTGAATGACCATCGGTCCACCATCAACTCTCTCTACTCTCTAAAAACATTATTCATGATTACTTTCTGCCTTCCTTTTATAAACATAGAATTAACAAAAAAAATTGTACTTAGGATTTTAAAAGCATCTCACAGCTAAAACAGGTTTGATTTTTCATGCTCAAAGTACAACAATGTAGCGAAAACTTCAATTCTCTTCAAGTTTGCTTTTTGAAGCTCTAAAAATCAAAATAAGATATACTTCAAGATACCGCTAATGTATGCGTAGCTGGATTGCCTTTTAGCTGCTCTTCTCGAATTGTACTTAATTTCACGGCTGGATGTTGACCGTTAGCGTCACTTGAGAAAGTAGATGATACTGCAGAATCATTTTTACTAGTTGTTGCATTGCAGATGTATGGTGTTTTCATTACTGGCCGATATAACTTCTCCACTTCACTGCAACAAAAATCAAAGACCCCATCGAGTTTTCAACACTATTCTATAAAGGTAGAAAAGATACTACACAGTCAAAGACATATGAGCACAATTAGTATAGATGGAAATCCAAATTTCATAACACTACAGTAATGCTTATTATTCTTATTGATTGAAAAAATTCTTTAAAATTTAACCTTTCACCTAATGTAGTTTCCCGTTCATGCTGCGTTTTCAGCAACATTTCGGCAGTAAGAGTTGGTTGACAAGGATATGATTTCCGCTGCTTGCGACTTGATGTTAATGAAGAAGGAATACGGGGTGGTTTCGGAGTATATTCCCCCATTCGATTGTAAGCGTCAATAAACTCTTCAGAAGAAACAAACTGAGCATGTTGTTGTCTCAAATATTGCTCTACTGGTAAAACCACACAGTCGAATACTGTTGGATCTGGTTCACCAGCCGAAAAGGCATGAACTCGAAGGCTCACTTCTCGTCGAAGATCCTAAAATACTAAAAACTGTAATCTAATTTCTCTCCCCGACAGAATTACTCAAGCGTTCAGCAATACTAATCAGTTTTCATTATTCCATCCGAATTACTTCCTCGACAGTAAAACTAGAAGATTGCTTTGATCAGAATGAAAATATTAACAAAAATTAAGTACCTCATGCAAAAACGAACAGACGCCGGTTTTTAAACTGATATATTTTTGATGCAAACTACGCGCAAGTTCTGCAGCACGAGAATTCTTCATCGTACACATATTTCTTAAACATTTCAAAGAACAATAAGAGACAAGAAAAATGTGGTATAAACACCTGACTATCTATCTCTTAATGACTATGAAAATTGCATCTATCTTTATCATAACTGCAGTACAGGCAGTCAATATAAAAAGTTGATTGTTTAGTAAAAATGTCTCAAGCATTATTTAAGACGAAGAGAGAATGCTTTTGTGAGAAAGCTTGTAATCTAATTTGTTCAATTTGTTCAATTTGTAAAGTCATTCGTCGGATCAACGGCTACAGGTTAATAAAGTGTTTATGCTTCTGAATAGCACTTGTAAGCTATGATGGCAAAGTGCAAGTTGATGGGATGTTCGGCTAACGATGACTCATTCTTCATCCACTTCTTGAACGCTTCCAAAGCATCACGATCCTCCAATACATTCTCGAGCTTCTGAGACCACCGATGTCGTTCTTCCGTTGGTCCCATCCTCAGTATCCTCCAAATATCAGAGCAGTGGTTTCTTCATAGACAATTCTCAAACCTTCGTTTAATTCCCTACACAACTTTTTTGCAAATAGAATTAGCACCAACTCCACTTTAATCCTTAGCCAATAGGCCCAGCCTGCCCGGCCCTTCTCTCTCTCTACCTCTTTAAAAATCCCTCGGATAAAACCCTCTGATCTACCAGTTATCCACTGCATCAAATTGAAACTGCTCCTACACCACCATCGCTCTCAACCCACCCGATCTAGCGAGGTTCGGTACTCTAAAAATGTGGTCTTTCCTGCAGGAAAGACCGTTTGAAGCGGTAATTTGAAATTGAAGAAGATTTGAGTAAATGACTGGACGGTAGCGGATAAAATGGCCTGAAATGGGACGGCTTGGACGAGCCACGGATTGAAAGCCAAGTGAAGTATTGGACAGCATGCCACAAGTGGATGCTCGCATTAGATTTTTGGATAAAACATATGGAGAAGCGGTTGTCGGGACTGTAAATGAAACTAAATGACCATTTCAAGTTCTAAATTAATCTGTGAACTTTGATACTTTTAATCATCGTACCAGTACTAGTTCTTGTATATCATATTGTGCTATTTATCTATAAAGGCACTAGGTAAATAGCGGTTACAAATGATTCTGTAGAACATACTTTACATTTAAACGAAAATTATGATCTAAACTGCAGTAACTACGAGACTTCATTAAGTACGGGAGAAGGTTAAATATAAGATTGATGTTTAAAAAAATGTAATCAATCTTTTAAGTGCTTGACACAATGAATTTTAATGTAGTGGTGGAAAACAAAAAAGGATCAACCATTGATCGACCTTGATTGCTTACTATTAACTTTCAAACTTTTGTCCACACATCACTCAAAATCACCTTCCGAAGAGTTGCTGTTACCCATTTTACATAGAAGCATCTTTCCATCTATCCCGGTCATTTCCTAGGAAAAATTGTGGTATGTAACTAATGTAACCAAATTTTATAGTTTTTTTCTGTACGTCTAAAAGTTAAGTCCCGACGATAGTTCAGGCTTTTTTTATGTTTTTTTCTCTCAGTCATACCTTTCTTCTCGACGGCAGCGCTTTTTTAATGTCTTTTCAATCGTAGCTTTCTTTTCAACATTCTTTTATACACCGTTATCCAATAAATATTTATATTTGTTGGATAAGTTCAATTGCAAGCAATAAGTAAATGTTTGCTGAAATACAACGATAATTATCATTTTTTCACGTCATTACAAACATTTCGAGTATTGAGAGACAACGTTTGACAAGCTTCCTCCCAATCCTTCCAGTACGTTTCACGCATTGTTTGAATGAAAGATACCAAGTTTGGAGTGTTTTCTTCCATATATTTCCGTAAAACATCACTGTTCATCGGTGTATAAAATATTTGGGTTAAATTACCGAAAGCAATCGCATCCAACTGAAATTATTCTCACGGATACTGAATAAATAGTTTCGTTGATTTGCTGTATTGTTAGAGCACCAGATTAGATCTGCCAAAATAATAATTCCAAAACAAGATGTTGATTTCAATTTTAAAACTAATTGTCCTATACGCTTTTTCACTCGTCACAATTAATGAAACATGATGAAGTATATTTAATAAAATTTTAGGTTTGAACGGTTTAAATGCAGTTTAGGAAAAAATTTACCGTAGTAGGTACAGAACCAAAAAAATACTGTTTATCACCAAGGAAAACGGACAGTGCTGTTAAATCTTTCTTTGCAATGCTTTCCACTTCATCAATTCCATGCCTACCAATTCCTTGCCAATAGCATAATTTCCAAATCTGTAAGATATTTCGGTATCGATCTCATTTCCACTGTAATAAATGAAAATAATCATTCCTTAATTCGGTGTTTGAGTATTTTAGTTAGTGATGCCAACACTTATCCATCATATTGTTTTTATCACATCATCAGTGATAAACTAAGAACTCGAGTGTTACTTTCATTGTAGAGATACCTTTTTCCGAAACTGTTCCACAAATACATATTGGAAGAGAGATTTTTTAGCACCTGTGTAATGTCTGATAAAACCTTTCTCTGTTCCCATGAATTTATTGTTTTTGCCACGATTATATAGTACGGTCCTATAATACAGCATTGAAGAGTATTGTTGGAAATAAATAGACGAACATTTATTCCTTATTACCTCTGTGATGACTTGTTAAATATGACAATGATTTATAAGTAAGCATTCTTGCTGATTATAAATCATCTATCTTCTCATTTCTAAGGTAATCACTTCCATGAAAAACTTCAATTAAGGATCTCTGTAAAACAGAAAAACTGTTTTTTTTTTTTTAAAAGCATATCTCAGTTATTGAAAAAACATTGAAAAGGATAAACTTACAAACAAAGAATGACTTTAATTAAAATTCCCTAAAATAATTTTTCCAAAAAAATATTATCACCTATAAGAACTATTGATTTAAAAGTCAATAAAATTCAAAAAGATTGTTAAATTTCAAAAGATATTCTGAAATAAAATTTTCTTAATTTACCATCTTATAGATTCCTCAAGTAGATGAGTGAAAGCTCGAGCTTGTGCTTTTTCCATTGGATTCAAACGCTCTTCCAAATCAATCTGGAATGACATTTAACTGTGCGATCATTTAAAGGTCAGAAACAACTAAAAGGCTTTAAGTCATTATTAAATTTTAATGCTTGTTTCGAAAAGGAGAAATATTAAGAATGTATGTTATGCGTGAAAGAAGGTATACATGAGAAAACGTTGAGAAATGAACCTTAAAGACTCGCGAAAGATGTTCAATGCAATAATTACTATCCGGTATTTGTCGTCCATTCAGTTCAATAAATGGAATTTGTTTTTTGAAGGAGAATTTAGTGAATTCATTGCTGATATTCTATAAAATTGCGATTATATACAAATATGTTATTCGCCTTTCATGCTTCTTAGTTTACTTCTTGCTAAGTACCAGTGATTCTCAATTAGACTCTCATTCTTTCCGAAACAATGAAATTCGACATTTGTTCTGTTTTCATGATTGCGTAATAAAAGGATAGCATAGCAAAAAATGCTATCCTAATAGCTTTTTACCAGCCGCCCAACAATTTTTAAATATGTTATAAATAAAGCACTTTTAAAGCAATGTTATTTGTACTCAATGAGGTCAAAACTGGAAAAGTGAAATCTTGAGAACCTTTAGAATCGGTATCAAAGACCTATCTTCCAACAGCATTTTTTCCTTAGCTGAATTTGAATATACAGTTTAAAGCAAAGCAAGAAAGCAAGTTCGAATCCTGATTACAAAGTGTTATTTACTTAAATATATATACTCTCAAATTCAAGTCTTTAAATTTTTAAAATATCATCCAGAAATTATCTTTTATTAGAGATTTTCTTATTACAAAATTTCTGATTGTCTCAACTGATAGTTTGTACAACAGCAGTACTTTCGAACAAATGAACAAAATAAAGCATTTGTTCATTGTAAAGATAAACTAAAATAAGCTAATTTCTTCAATTAACCAAAATTTTGAGTAAAAATTAAGTAATATATTTAGAAGTAGAACTAATAGTAACAGGCCCTGTAGTCAGAGGCAATCAAAAATATGAAAGGGCAGAATGCAAACGAGTTTTCGCAATCTAAATTCTTCATATCTGATTTAAATTGGAAATCACTCATAAAAAACACTAAATGATAATTCGTCTTACCGAATATGGAATTTTAGTTATCCGAAGCCAAGTTTCCAATTTTAAGGCGAACATTGATAAACTTGGAATACAACCAGCTCGAGGGAACTGTACCAAATACACATGGTCGCGTTGCCAATCTCGTTTTAGTAAAAGTGGTGTTGGCATAATGGCAAGAACAGATATTTTTCTTAGTTAATTACAGAATGAATTAGCAAATTGAAAATAAAGGAGGATTAAAATCAGGGATTTGAACGTTTGCGGTTGTAGGCATGCATGAAGGGACTATAAAGTTGCTTGTTTCGCAATATCACAAACAGGTTGCACCATCATCTCGTCCTTTTGCAAGATGAAAATCACTGCAGAAGTGAAGGAATAACCAGCGATGAAGGAATGTGTCCCCACGGGTCGATCGGGTGTCATTAAAGTGATGAATGGTTAGTGGTTCTCTGTGCGGTAAAAGGGAGTTAGAAAGGTGAACAGAAAGCAATCGAGACGTCACAGGAATGCAATTCAATGCGTCTTTCCATTTCTACAACAATGCTTCAATTAGTTTTAAACAGAGATATAATTAACACTGAACCTTATCACCGAAAATATTTACCGCGCAAGTAGAAGAGTTCTTCAATTAAATTTAGGTGCTGATAATTGATAACTGATTCAACAAATATCTCTCGCAAACATAATTTCGATTTTTCCTCACTCTGTCCAATCGCTTCCGATCATTTCCAGTCATTCCCTGACCATTCAATGTATCGCCCTTTTTTGCAATGACGTGATTGATTATAATATGACTTTTCGATAAAAACTCCAATCTTTTAATCTTTACTGTTCAAAATTTAACAGCACTTCAGCTTCAAATTTTTAGAACAGTTTGCATTATCATATTTTATTAAAACAGTTTCTTGGAACCTTTGTTTTCGAATTTGGAAAGAATTTTTTTTATCCAAAAAAATTGCCAAATTCAATTTATTTTTAAATTTAATCAAACAAATAAATGAATTGCATGTTAATGTAAATTGTGCAAAAAACTGAACTGCGCTGAACTATGCAACTAAACCGAATATCGAATTTCTTTATAATTATGGAAATTAGTTAAAAATTGCATTACAAGTAAAGAAGGCTTACAAAAACTGATTCCATATATAGTACACTTGTAATACTGGACAGCTGGTCATTGATATTACTCGACTAATTTGTTTCATTCAAGATCAATAGTTTCTTGTTGATCTCTATAAACTTGTAAGAAATCTATTGGACATATCTAGCCGTTTCCTTTGCGCTAATTAAGAGTTGTTGAATATAAGCATTACTGTGATAACCTTGGAAAAGTATGCTTAATGTATATGCTTGCACACAACGTGAGAAATCAGGACTGTAAAGAAGAATTAATTTACAAAAAATAGTTCATGGAAAAAATGTTCAACATAAAATTGTCAGTTCAATTCAATATTTTCAATTATAACGTAATTTCGTAATTGTTCAAAACAAGGCGTTTTGGACAATTTGCAGCAGTATTGGATAAATCCTATACAACTAATCACTTGCTAAGAGCATTACAATATCAAAAAAAATTTATATGCTCGATTTAAGGTAAACATACACTGAAATGTAAGTTATCAAGCTGAGAGTGTTAATATCAGATGTATCAATCATGCACCGTCAGCCTTTATTTTCCCTCAATTTTCGATTCAGAAGAAATGACAATATGATTCATTAAAGTTTGAAGGAAATATTGCACTTAATGTCCGATCATTTTCTTCTTTTTTTGAATCAAATAGAAAAAAGAATATTTGAAATTTGCAAACAAATCATTTGAAAGACTAGGCCTTCTGAACTTAGCACTTTTGTCGGTAAATGAATAATTTAGCAGTATAATCATCGAAAGAAGCAAAATCCCTATTAGTTTAGAAAAGCAATGCAAATGCTTTCAGTGTAATATTTCTGACTTTCTGCTGACTAATTAGCTACCTTCTAGTTTATTACTAACTTACTCATTACCTACAACACAGTAACACATATCAACAAATCCATGTTACTCTAATTATCTCATAATAATTCACAATCAAATTCTCGAGCGATCTATTGCCTTGTTCAGTATTATATTATTCTGTTGATAATTTCCAGATCGGCAAAGAGTGCGGATAGCTGTGTAAGTGTGTATGTGTGTGTGTGTGTCTGTGTGTCTGTGTGTCTGTGTGTGTGTGTGTCATTGCTATTTAACTTATTGTGCCTGAGTCAAAATGACATGGTTGCATACAGCGCAGTTTGTGTTTGATGAATTGTAGAAGCCTTAGCTTCAACGATTGGTGCTGCTACCTGATTGTTGCAGTTTTATCGATAAAATTAGCCTACCTTTTCATTCTAGAAGAGCCAGCAATCCATGCATCTGTCTCTCTGTCCACTTCATCGGTAGAAATGGGGAGTTCGAGCCAAGTGATAGCTCGATAAAGTAAATGTAAGCATGGCTACTTTTTCCCTTTCTCTTTTCCTCTCCTCTACAACGAACCCTTTTCTTTTATTAAAAGACATAAACCAAGAAAGAGTAGAAGCGAGTGAGTGTCACCCTTCCATCCACTCAATATCTATCCTCCATCCACCCATGCTTATATCCTATCTACTATTTTATCTATTTTGCTGCTGTCTGTATAATGCAGACAGTTAGCACCTACCTCCCTTTATACTGCAGCATGCAAACGGCACTAGCTAAAAGCGCCTAGCCAGCTAGTATTGACAACTCCTGCCTTCTATCCATCCATGGAAGCTTATTCCAGGCTCCCAAGCAGTCGTCGTCGTTGTTGTCGCCGTCAGTATGTGCCTCCTCCTCGTCCCTTTTTGTGGTGTGATGGTTTTTTTCGTGATATGGTGATTGTTTCTTTGCATTCTGTCGGTATTTTCGCTAAAAAATTCAAAAGTTGGTAAAAATTTGCATAAGAATTGTCTGCTTTATGGATCATATAGTTACTCAGCTAATCTTCGGTGAAGCTTATTCGTCGTAATTCAGCAATTCAGCATTCTGTGCTTTTTATTATTATTATTATTATTATTTGATGTTTATTCCCTAATTTAATTATTGCTATTGTGAATTGAGAAAACTCACTCTTTATTTGATTTCTGCATTTGCTACACTGTTATTTACTTAATTGGAGCCGAGTGGTGGTGCGTAAACGTTTGGTTTTTTGTGAATGTTCCCTTAGATTAGACGAAGAATTATTAGCAAATCCAACGATAGCCTATTGCCATCAACAATTTTTTTTAATTTCCAAAATTTTCTGAAAATTTGGAGGTAAGAGAAGAATTGTCTTTTCTTGTTTCTCTTGAATAATTACTATTAAATATTTCAACTTCAAAATTATTAGTTCAATTCAAATTTGCTGCAAGCTACCTACAAAATATTATTCCTGCAATTTTATATGCCTAAATGGTACATCATCAACAACAAAATAAAAGTAAGCAACAACAACAGCAGTCGGGAAGTAAAATGAATGGGGATAATGGGATGAGTCGTTCATCATCCACCGATAGTAATGGTTTCCCGGTAAAAGATTCCGATGCAATCAAACTCTTTGTTGGACAAGTAAGTTTTCTTCCATACTTTTTCCTCAATTAAAAAAATAACTTTAACTGAAATCTCAGCTTAGCCATTGATCAATTTTAAGGAATGCATTTACAAACAAAAAAAATATCCATTTATCCATTACATAAATGAAGCATAGTCAAACTGTTTAAAACTAACTTTATACCTTTTTCATCTTTAATCTCAAAAGTTCGCCAACACATTCTCTGTTCTGTATATCTTTCAATCAAATCAACTTTCTTCCATTCATTCTCTCTTCAATCTGTAATTTGTCATTTTACAAGACGCAGATACTTACAAGATTGCCAGTACCATAATTATATTGAACTTTACTTAGAAATGCGAATTTAATGCAAAATAAATCAGACAAAAATTTGTTTACAAATTTGTGCAGACTACTGTAGAGAAGAGAAAAAGACTATGCCAATCATTTTACATCAACCAATCAGCTTCCAGTCTACTGCATATACTTCTTCCTAAGGATGAATCGTTGTTTTTTTTCACCAAAATTTTGAAACTTTTGGTAGTACAAATTAATACAATGTGATGGAAACCCTCTTTTCTACCTTTTGCCGGACAACTTTGAGGTGTAATCATAAGGTTTACAAGCCTAAACTGTGTGACCACGTACGACTACGTGTTATAGGAGTGATGCAAATCATATACAACTTAACACACTGCTAACTACAAGAACGTTATAGTCTATTAGAAGTTTTAAGCTTTAATTCTGACAGGTAAAGCTGAGAACAGTTTAAACTCTGTACTACTGCAGTTTTAAATAATTACAAACAATTATTTTGTGTTTTTTATGTTCTTTAATTTAAGCAAACTTCAAATATGCTTGATAACCATAAATTAGAGAACCATTCATGAATTTTTCATCAGAGTTTTCGGCAACAACTAAAAAAAGAATAAATAAAAAATTTTGTGGAACAATTTTTTATAAAATAAAATTCGTTCTAATTTTTAAAGGAGAAATTCCTTTATTTTTTAACTCAGAGAAATGATATCTTGAAGATCAAACGTAATAGGTCAATATTGGAATATTGTAAATTGCTTATAAACTTCTTCGGCACAACCAAAAGTTTATAGAGCCTTATAATTTTATAAATTTACAATATAAGTTCAAAAAATTTTCAGATTCCACGTAATTTGGAAGAAAAAGACTTACGGCATTTGTTTGAAACTTTCGGCAAAATCTATGAATTTACAATTCTGAAAGACAAATACACAGGTTTACACAAAGGTTGTGCATTCCTAACGTACTGCCATCGCGACAGTGCTATCAGATGTCAGGCTGCTTTACACGATCAGAAGACACTGCCAGGAGTTAGTTTTCGTTTTCATATATAATTCTAACAATTGTAAACCAAAAAAAAACAGGTAAAATAATTGTTCTTAACTTAAAAAATATTGATACACAATAACAGAGAAAATTTGAAATATGAGGGACGAAATATTTCTGTCATGTGCGATCATTTTCCAAACTATCCTTTTGAATCATTCATTCATATTTTCACTTTCAATTCTCTGATTACGAGTTTACTATCTTTTAAATTTAATCTAAAATACCAATCGTTTCCAACATCAGTTCATTGAAAATACTATCCAATAGATTTGCAATTCTGTGGATCAAACATAGATCGTCATTCTTATACGCAAAACAACGCTATTTATTCATTTCTTCAGAAATTTTTTTGATTTGAAAAATATTTAAGTATACATAAATAACATATTCTTTTATTTAACAGTTCATAATTCTTTAAAAAATAATCACCATTGCTCCTGATGCATTTTTCTATAAAAAATGAAACGCTTTATTTGAAACATCACTTATTTTCAGCACAAGAACTCTTTCTAATCTGTGATGTGATCTCCCTTTGCTAATCATTATTGTTACCAATAAGAAAATTGCGGGTGTTGACAATCTTGACTGGTGACAATAGCTGACAGGTGGATAGGAAAATAAAACATATCGAAGATTGTCATATGACAAATCCAAATATGCATGAAATGAAGTTCAGATCTTTTGAAATGAAGTTTTGAATATGTACTATAAATATAATATAAGCTGAAATCCATTTTATGTGCGTAGTAAAAGGCGGAACAATTGAATCAATTTCTGACGATTTTAGGCTATCGATCTTTTGGCCATTATCAGCAGTAATTTATCCATGCTATCTCTATTTGAAATCTACGAAAAGATGTGTATTAGTCAGTCTAAGAATAATTTCTTGAGTCTTTGTTAATAATCAGTTGAGAGCTGGATATCTCGTGAATTTGAGCATTCGTATCTTTCGAAAAGTAAAATTTCCGCTTCATATTGAAAAAAGGGAAGTGCAAATTTGGCAAATTGAAATTTCTTCGCATTAACCTTATCGTAAATTTGGTAGGGGCAGAAGAGCAGAGGGAAAGAAGGATATAGTTTAAACCAATCATTGAAAAGGTTTCTAAGTTCGTTCTTCTTGTCAGATTAGGGGGTGGAACCATTTTTCTTCCATCTCTCGAGTTAAATCTTCTTCATCTTTCACTGCCTCTCTCCCTCATTTCACTTTATTTTCTGGAAATTTATTTCAGCTTTTTCTTCCTTCTTTCCTCTTTCTTCATCTTCAATTTGAAAATTAACCAAATGCCAGCAGTATTGCACCGTTGCTTAACGGAGAGTTTTTTGCCCAATCTAAAATTCCTATTGCTTTCATCACTCGGTGTGTTACCACTTAGAAGTTAACCGGTTTCTTATATACTTGCACAAAATCTGCAATACATTGAGCAATGGAAGAAGACGAATAGTCCCATTACTGTGGCGAATCATTCATTAACCTCTTGAACAATGATTGTTCTTCAGGCAAGTAATCATTTTTGTATTTCTTTCTTTTTTCTAGGGAAAAGATATTTTACACACTCATTCCTTCAAGATTTCAACCTTCAATATTGCAAAATTAATATATTCACTAGAACTTGGTGTGGTACTCTTAAAGTTTACAAATAGATTATAGGCATTTAATTGTAAATTAAATTGCAGACGTCTGCTTGTAGGCAAGCAGTTTTCATTGTTGTGTCACTAATAAATCTGATCTATTCGATTTCAAGAATAAATTTTAGAAAAGCTTACAAAGACTTAGAAACATTCCACAAATTCAGCCTCTTAAAAACTCCAAATATTCACATTTACAATTTTCTGAAGAAATGAAGAAGGCAGTTCGCATAAGCTTCGTTAATTCCTTTTCTTTCATTAGCGTTTTTGTTCTATGCTTTTTCAATAAAAATTTTCGTCTATGTTTTTTCAATAAAAATTTTCTTCAACCTTTCAAAATGCTGTGTAAAAAATTTAAATATAAGAGCTGGCTGGAATTGAAACTGATTGAAATAAAATACGAAAGAGATTTTTTTTGGGGGAGAGGAGGGATTTCTGGAAATGTTCTCTTAAAATTGTTATCAGTACATGGAATCAAAAATTTTTTTCTCAACAAATAGATTTAAAATGAAAATTTATACTTATATTAGTAGCTTTCACTATGTAATACATCAGAAAGAAAAGTTTTCGTTGTGTAACTTTATAATTGTGATGTAAAAAATGGTTTTGTTTTTAAGAATCATTCAACTTCAGATGAATCGAGCAATGCAAGTAAAACCAGCGGATAATGAGAGTCGTCCTGATTCACCAAAAAATGCTGAAGAGAGGAAACTTTTTGTCGGTATGCTTTCCAAACAACACAGCGAAGATGATGTCCGCTCCTTATTTGCTCCGTTCGGTGTTATTGATGAGGTATAATTATTGAATTTCAGATTTTTCTTTAAAATATTTTGTTGTAAATGAAACTATTAGTTAAAAAATGGAACATGGAAATGGAAAAAAAAGTGGAAATTATTGATTAAAAAAAATGGAACAAAAAAAAATCGAAAAAACGAAAGTTTAATTTAAAGTTTGAAATCTAATTCAAATAGCTTACTGATTCTTAACAACTGAAACGATTTCCTTAGAATTCCAGCAAAAAAAATTGAGACTGTTGGTCAGTAGAAGTTTAAAATTGAATAGTCAGTATTTCTTAGTTGAATAGAAAGAATAACAATCGCATTTTCAAGACCAATATTAGTAATACTTCTCTGAAAACAAACCGGTTTGTGGAAAATATTATTAATGTAAGATATGCAACACCGCCAGTAACAATCATTTTCAATTCACTGAAGAGAGGTGAAGAAACAAAATTAAAGTTGATTGAAGCTTCTGAAGTTTTTTGTTCTTGAATTCTCTTTTCCTAGGCTTTCACATCTTTTTCTTATCAACTTCTGTGGGAAAAATAAGTTATTTTTCCCTTCTTAACTTTTTATCAACTATTATCGTTGTTTCTTTTTTCCAAATTCACCATCCTTGCTAAAATCGATAATTTAATTTAAATTTTATTCCTTTTCATTCCTCTTACTCGTTGTTTATCATTCACGACAATTTTCCTCTTTCTCTTCCGATTCCATGAATAAATTTCAATACAATCTTTATTTCAATTTTTTTTTCGCTTGATATTTTCTTTCTCGCATAATATTGAATTGATTTATTGAAATTATATATTTGTACGAATTTACTTTCTCAATGGTATTAAAATTGGCTATTTGAAAGCCTTCCTTGGATGATACCTCCAACTATTCCCCCTTTCTTCCAAATTCAAGAAGAAGTCAAAAATTTCCTCAACAAAACTGCGAAAACCGCTTCCTGTTGATAAAACTCGGGCGAATATTTTGCGAAATTTCAGGTGACTGTACTTCGTGGTGCCGATGGTCTATCAAAAGGATGCGCATTCGTCAAATTTGCAACACATTCACAAGCTGCAATGGCAATTAATGCCCTTCATGGTAGCCAAATGATGCCAGGTGCCTCCTCATCCTTGGTCGTCAAATTTGCTGATACGGAAAAGGAGCGACAATTACGTCGAATGCAACAAATGGCTGCGCAAATGGGTTTACTAAATCCGGTACTTGTTAATCAAGCCGGCATTTATAATACAGCATATCAACAGGTTAGTGGTTGTCAGGCCTAGAAGGGACTGATTAGATCTAAACTTTTTGATATGATTTTAGTCAAATAATTGCTTGGTGGATCAAACAAACGAAATATAGCCAAGAATATCCATGTAACAACAATGTGTATTAACTGTATCGCTGTAGGAACTCCGCGCAACTATTTTATTTTCACAAAAAAATTACAGATATTCGAATTTGGGAAAAGATAAGCTTAAAAAATATTTTGATTCCTAGAATTTTTAGCTGCTCCAACAGCAAGCAACCCTTGTAGCAGCGCAAACAGCGGCAGCTGCTTATTTCCCGGTCGCTATGGCACCGCAAACAGCGGTAGGTTTCTCCAAACGTGATTATCCATCCAATTGTGTGTAAGCCATTATCGATTATTTTTCAACTTATCCCCATATTTCGTCGTCATTGCAGAATTTAATGTTTTCTAAATTCAATTCATAGCTGTATGAGTAATATGTAAAGATTTGTCAACGTCTGTCTGATGTCCTAAATTGATGGATTCAATGTTACATTTAAATGACCGTAACATCTGCTCTCCCCTTATATCATCTGTCCTCTTACTATGTACGATGGATAATTTACATAATCCGAAAGAGATAGCAGCGAGGAAGAGTAAGAGATAAAATAATTAGTGGAGATAGCAAGAGGTGAAAGAGAGGGAAAGAGAGAAAAAGATAAAAGTGGAAAAGCTATCAAAGAAGGAGAATGATAGTACTACTAATGGTGGGTCCAATTATAATCATTAAGAGTGAGTGACAAAAATATAGCATTTGGTTGCTCGAGAAGTGCCATCTTGCACAGTCACTTATCTCTTCTCATCATGGCCTTTTTAATTAACCGCAAGGGAATGAGAGAATTGAAATGAGAAGAGGGAAAGATGGAAAATTGCAAAATATGAATTTCATGTTTTTCTTTCTAACTCTTCTCTCTCTCTTTTCACGTTTTGTTTAATTTCTGCATCACCCAGAAATTTCTTTTAGGTTTCAAGCATATTTTCAGCTAGCAGCAGGATTGGCAGGAACAACAAATCCGGCAACATTCCTGACACAGCATCCCTTGCAGCCACTTTCAGCACTTCCGTTACAACAAGCTAACTCTGTTCAAGCAATTTCCGCATTATCACAACCTTATGCACCTGTTGATTATGCCGCGGCTGCAGCTGCAACCGTCACACAATATGCACGTAAGTTTGTTTAAATAATGACTTCCAGTTTGTATTATATGAAATAAAATAAGTTTGATTCAAATGAGCCATTAATACTTTAGCAATGTATTGATACATGCAATGAATTGTCCGAATCGGTTAGAATCAGTATATGATACTTCTTTCAAATTTGGCTATTAATTTGGTATAAGCGTATAATGGTTGTAGCCTCAAGTACTGCAGCAGCAGTAGCTATTGATTCGACGGCATATACACTGCCAGCTAGCGGAACGTTACCTGCCGGAACAATTCCTGCGGTTACATTGCCTTCAGCTTACAATCCTCTGGTCAATCTTGAACAGCAAGCAAGTAAGACGCATTTAGTGATAAATGAATTAAAAGAAATGTCAAATAAGGGACTAGCATAAGGTTTTATGATATTAAAATGTAAAATTGCTAATTTACACAAACTACTGAGTACATCCCTGTTTTTTGTTAGAAAAAAAAAAACTCAGAATGGTATTTTTTTATAGATCCATACAATCAAGCCTTGCAACAAGCAATTGCCCTTCAGCAAGCGGCTATTCTTTTTCCAGGTGCCCAAAAAGAAGGTGCGAATTTGATTATAATTTATATAAATATATACTTCATTACTACAAATAAAATACTGAAGTAGACTGTCAGTTAAGACAAAACAAAAACATGCTGAAATAGAAATATGTATGGCGAGCAGATCATAAAAACCAATGATTTTATTTTCTCGAAAATTTCGGTTAGGAAAAACGGCTAACACATCTAAAACATGATTAGGTTCCCAGGCTTGCATTTCTAAGCACTTGTACTGGACAGTTATCTGACCCTTTGGATGAAATTCTGATTTACTTTCAGAAAAATGCTAATTCCAAAAATTTTGGGAAATTTAAAAGTCGTTATGATTTCGAAAATATTACTGCATTTTATCCTTTCGCAAAAAGTGGCAAAAATGATCAAAGAAAAATCGAATTTGATCAAATATTCAGCGTGATATCAATTTTGCAATGATACTTTTGTCTTTACTGAGAGAAAATCGCAGAAAAACGACACTAAAAATTTCATTGTATGGCATGTAAAGTCTCCGCTTTAGTTCGAATGGAAATTTGATTTTGTCACATTTTGCTTTGCTCGCTCAATTAGTTTTGTTAGCATCTGGCCGGACTAAATCGATTTACGATTTTCTCTCCCGGCAACAACAGGACCAAATTTATTTACTGAAAATAATGAGAAAGACATGGGGACACAAGTGGCTAAGCCATCTCCAGAAGTGATTCCTATTCCTCTTAATACTTATAATAGTGTTTCCCTACGAACTTTTCTCAGTCAAATAAAACGATTGCTGTTTCCTTAGCAAGGATTTTTAAAGTTTTATTAGTCTATGCTTCTTTGAAATTCGTTTTAATAAAATATTGTTTCAAATACTTTTTAACCTATAAAGTATCCGATCGAAAGTCTTAATCTCTCTATACCCCGTGCAATCCTATGTTATTGAATTATCAAATTCATTTAAATTTGAAATGTTTAGATAAAGAAATATTAAGAAGAAATCAACAGTGGCAAATTTCAGTTTTGGGTCCGGAAGGGTGCAATTTATTCATCTATCATTTACCGCAGGAATTTGGTGATGCTGAACTGATGCAAATGTTTATGCCTTTCGGGCATGTGATAAGTGCTAAAGTCTTCATTGACCGAGCAACCAATCAGAGTAAATGTTTTGGTGCGTTTTTTGTTAAATATTTACATTTCGATGAAATTTACAGTCATCGTAACTTAATGAATTGGGGCAAATAGGGACGTCAGATTAGATGAGTAATAGGTGCAGTGGGAGGTAGAATCGTGTGAATACTTGAAAGCTTAAGATTTCATGCTGATTCAACATAGTACCGCAACATAGCATATTACTGAAATAGTAGCAGTTAGCAGTAATAGTAGTAACCTTTGGCACTGTAATCACAATCGCTCTATCAATTCAGGTTTCGTCTCCTACGACAACACCGCCTCAGCAATGGCAGCAATTCAGGCAATGAATGGCTTCCAAATTGGCATGAAACGACTCAAAGTGCAATTGAAGCGTCCTAGAGATAAACCGTACTGAGCAAAATGAATAGTTCAAAAAAAGAAAGATTAGAAATTTTAAAATGAATTTGTGTTGTCAAGTCAAGAGAAAGTGTCGCGTTATGTTTTGTCTTCTTTAGTCTATCACCAAAATTTGCCGCATATTTTCTAAATAATCGTTTATTTGTTTGTGTTCTGCTTGGATATCGTCTTGTTTTTTTCTGGACAACTGAAAGTAATATTTTCCGTTCAGTTTCATTTTATTTCTAAATTTGCTCTGCTTTTGTTATCAAATTGACATGTTCCCGAGGAAAGCATTGTCAGTGATTCGCTTTCCTGATCAATAACCTTTCCTGACTTTACGCTAAAATTTTCTCAAATTAATTTTGGATGTAATCTATCCAGATTAAAAATTTTCTAGATGCATTTTCATCAACATAATGAATCGTTGATAATTAATGGTTATAAATAGGAATGATTAATTGAACAGGCGCAATCACAAGCTTTGCTGCTACTACTGACCTTTTGCTAATGAGCGAAATAATTAATATTAATAGGATTGTGGTGTATATATAGTACATTGATATGCATGTTACCTTAATATGATTTTAGTTATATGTTGTGAAATTTGTCCCATATTTTATTGTTGTTTGGGATGTGTCCTGACTCATTAACCTTCTGAAACAAATTATCATCAAAATGGAACATGGAGTTATGTGAGAGAGCCGCCTATTGTTGATAAAGTTGTTCTATAAGATTGATCATTTCGTTAGTAACTTCTTTACAACAACGAGCTTCATCGTCTGTTTCATTCAATAGTTTTGTATCTTTTTCTGATATCATTGTGATGTTTTCCATATAATTGTGACTGTTTTGCAGAATGAGAGAAATGAGTGGAGGGAGAGCGAAATGTTAAAAATTCCGCCATCATTTCTTTCGTTTACTTCAAATCTGACCGGATATGTCAGCTTCCATTTCCGTTTTTTGGTACAAGTACAAAAACATTTAAATTTTATTATGAATTTATTTCAAATTCGCTTCCTCCCCTTATTTCTGCCCTTGAATCTGCTGTCGGATGTGTACAGTGATAAGTAATGTTGTGACAGCTAAAAAAATTTTTTATGACGAAGGAGTACTTTGATTCCGGTACAACAGCAAAATGCAGTCCTGAATTCCGGATCTGAAGTACAAAAAAACGTCGAATTTTCGTGGAATTTTTTCTCTCGCACTCACACACATTTCTATTTCTAATCACTGAAAAAGGTGTGACACCTTTGCACGATCGGTTTATACTCTGTTTGATATTGCATGCCAATAATACTTTCGATTAAAGTTCAAAATTTCAACTTAGATTCATATTTTTTTGAAAGTCGAAATGTCGAAATTTTCTTGACCAGGGCCGGGTCATTCATTATTCTAATCGTATAATTTTGAAAAGATCTTTTTTTAGATTACATCTATTTCTAATGTTATGAATATGCAGAATTTTTTTCAATGATATATAAAAAAATAAAATTTAAATTTTTTAACAAATCTTAATTCTGTTCATTTCAGGTTCAACGAATGAAAGCTCAGATGTGATTCTATTCCCTGTTGACTTGCTTCGTCACACATTCCATTGATGTACAGGATCTCATGTTTTTTCATTTTCGAATAAACGGGACAATTTGATAGAGCCAAAAAGTATGCATTTTGAAAATAAGATGGATATTTGGACTCAATACTTTTCGACATCAAATTGTCCCAAACACTGTCCCTAAAAGAATTATTATATTAGATATTTTTTGGTTGTGTCAAACATGGACCTTTTTTTTAACAATTTAGCAGTGTAAAACTCAGAATGACTTCTTCATATTATTAATAATCAATAACTTGATCAAATTAGATACAAAAATAAGAATTTACATCAAACTTGTAAGAATGTTGGAATTGATTTTATTAGTATTAAATTTAATATCTTTGCAAATGATGATATCATTCGGTTTTGTTAAGTTTGTACATCGTTAGTAACCAAGTATTTGTAGAGGGAGAGAGGGAGAGAAATCAATTACAAAAAGAAAGATTTCCAATTGGTATTTTTCCCTCCGAAAAACTGTGACCGACTTCCTTTCCTCTCTTCTCTTTATAACCTTTTTTAAATATATTCTTTCACATTATTTCAGTCGTATGTTAATTTCTGTTACATATGGAATTAAGCTGCGGTTAACCCTTCCTTTCATTTGAAGAAATTTTTAATGATGAACTCATTGTTTACAATTTTGAGATGCACTTTTTCTCAATTGGTGAAAAAAATGTCATTATTAGATTGATGAGTTGATTATGTTTTCGACCTTCTGCTATCATTTCGGAATGCCATCATTTTTTTAAATAATTGAGCATTTTACTGAATTAACCAAAAGTTCTTACTGTACTTTGTTCTATATTTTTTATTTAGTCCTCTGAAGTAATTATTAAAACTCACACTTATAAAGCAGATTTTCCGGGAAATTTCTTTGTGTCATTACGGAAATTTGAAAAATTGTTCCATTCTTTTCTTCCCTTTGTTTCTCATTTGAATGATCGTGAATTCAGTGTCATATGAGCTATTTAACTATTATTTTCCGGCAAGCTTTTTACGGTATTGTTTTTGATATAAATTCTTTTGCTTGGCGAAAGTTTATTTGAGGTGCAATTGGAATAGTGAAAGTGCTGAACATAGTCCTTCTAAACGGTTTTTTTTTTTGTTACAATTTTGCTGATTCAAATCTCTTGTGAAATGTTTAAATTTATTTTACCGTAAGCTCATTTAGTCCTTATTGTTTAAAAAAACTGAACTATAATGGAATTTATTAAGGAAAATGATAGACCACAAGTAAATGAGCAAGAAACCACATATTCGAATGTTCTATGAGGGATTTTCATAGATTAAACAGCTGTTTAATACAATATAAATGGCAAAGGGCGGATGTTATTAAGCTTTAAAAATTTTACTCAAAATGAACTTTGATGCCATTTTGTCTATTTATTGTCATGTTTCTGTTGTGTGTGTCTGTGTGTGTGTATGTGTGTGTGTGTGTGTGTCATTTGCTGTTGTAGTGGTTGTGTTATTTACTTATTGTATTGGTAACATTTCTCATATTTATTGTAGCAGTAGTAAAGTCAGTGATGTTAATATTTGCGGGTAAATTGGGGCTACTATTAATTGTTTGGTGATTATTTCGTTGTAATTTCAATTGCTTGAATTTTATATCACTGTAATAGATGTAAAGATGCTTTAGCTTTTCGGCATTTTAGATAGCAATTGAAGTAGGTTAAAATTTTTCCAATTTTTTCTTTGAAATTTGTTAAAAATCATATAGTAAATGAAAGGCATTATGTTTTATTTTTATAGTTTCAAATATCAATAATTTCGGCGAATAATTCTCTATCAATTACGATGGTGATGATTGCGCTCGTACTGTAGTACTAGAAATATTAGCTTAAAGGTGATTGTATGCAATTTCCATTAATGAAATCAGTTTATTTTCAAGTCAAGCATTTCCTTTTATTTATCACTTGATTTTGAATTGGCTATTGCAAGCTATTGCAAAATTACATGAGATATTTATGATTTTAGAGATATTTGACCTTTGCCAAAATTATTTCTCGCATATTACAGAGCTTTTGTGATGTGTAGCATTAAATTAGTATTATCAGTTTGTGTTTTATAAGCTTTAGGCGTTTATTTATTGCTGGTGTGTGTTTTGATAGTGAAATTATGCTGCATTGATCTCAGATGTGTACAGATCCTTTTCATTCTTTCTTCCTTTTTTAATTTAATTCTTTTATGCTCTTTTTCATTTATTACTTTTCATTGTCATTTTAACTTCTCATAATTATTCCTTTTTGCCTAATTTATTATAATATAACACAATTGTCATATTGTTGAAATATCTCCTTTTGAAATTTAATTTGGTTTCAAAATAAAATATTTTCATAATAATTCGAAAAACACAGTGCAATCATAATCGTTTGATTGAATTTCATTTGTTGGGAAATTAAGACTTTTGGAGTGAATTATCAAAAATTTCTGTTCAATAATCGAACTTTCTCGTCTACGAACACATTAATGTTTTATACGGCAGAAAAGTGACTTTCCCACAGTTTATCTGCTTCATTTCCTCTTCTGCCGAACACTGTCAATTAATGAATTAACTTATTGACTGGATGAATAGAAGTGAACTTACGTAAAGTTGTTATAAATGGTATGATTGGCCAAGAATAGAAGCAATAGCGGTGTGTTTTTGGAACACTTGAAAGTTGTTATGACCTTGGAAATATTCACGTCGCTCTATTAATTTAAATATTTAAAAAGTCAATGTTGTCTCCTAAACATACCAATTGAATGATTTCTGAAAAGAATAGCTATAATTTGACAGCAATAAAGGAGAAACAGATTTCTCGATATTGATTTTTTTTTGTCTTCAATCTTTTTCTATCTTATTCCCTGATAATATTTTTTTCAAACTTTTCAACTAAATATTCTAACTCCAACTTACTCATAAGTATTTTAGCTTGATGATAAGTTTGCGAACTACAGTAACATTCAAAATCTCTAATAAATAAATATAGTTTTATTGCCATTCACAGACGTAAATGGCGAGAGGAAAGAATTGTTGTATCCTACCAGGTAAATGAGTTATTGTCAACGATACTTGTCCCCTGTCACTAGCTGTTCTTGACTGTAAGTGCAGAAACACATGAAGAAGAATACGTATTCTTCGATGTCAAACATATTATACTCTTAATGTCTGCATGTGTATGTATACCCGATCGGGTTCTCGCCCGTTGAATTGTTGCAGATGGAATATCGGAGGCAAAACACAGCAGCAGCGATCCTATCTTCCTCATTTTCTTTCACCTCTTTTTTACCTGTTTTACCTGAGATCTTTTCATTAATTGTATGTTACACGGCGTTGCTATACACATTTACATTGCTTTTTCAATTTGTTCCTAATACGGAATTATTGCAAACACACCTGTATACGAAGATTTTTCATCCATTTAAAATTTATCCGATAGGTTTGCAAATATGTTTCGAAAGCAAATTCTTGCGAAGAAATTGCAATTAATCCGGGCTGATGCATTTATAATGATTTCACTAAAATCAAAAATTTTTTCCTTTCCTTATCTTCTGAGCTTCTTGTCCTCATTCGCAAATTGTTTCTCTCGGGACAAAAAAATTAATTAACTTTTTTTTACACATGAATTACAATTATCTTAAAGTTATGCCGTTTTGCATTCACGAATTTTAAGGGATTTTATAAATCTTCATGATCATTGTCAGTGTCAGCCATGCATTCTTCATCCACACCAATACATCTGTCCAAGTGTGTCACATTATGTCACACTATAAATTCGGAATAAATATTTAGTTAATAAACAGAAAATAAAATGTGTCACTTTGGTCAATAAAAGGACAAAATTAGAAATTTAATTATTTTTCGATAAAGTGCGCAAAGACCGATGACTAATTATGAATGACCAGTTTGAACGAGTGACAAATTTGACAAGAGAAATGTGTAGAGATGGTATCATAATATCAGCCGCATCAACCTCCTTATCAAGTGTTATCATGTACTTTCTGGCTTTGTTGTACTGCTTCTTAGGCACTGCGATCGTTGCAGACGTCTTCATGTGCTCTATTGAAAAAATTACATCATCAACCAGGTTGAGTTATTATTTTAATATGCCACCAATCTTGAAAGTTTTAGATTATTGTAACTTTCAGTGATACAGTCTTCAGGAACTATTTTGATATTCTTAAATAAGCGGTTTATTAACATATTTCAGAAAAGTTAAATTAAAACATCCGACAAGGAACGCGATGTGTGAAACCGGTAGTCCGGAAGAAGGCGTAGAAATACGTGTTTGGAATCCAACTGTAGCTAATTTAAGTTTAATGGTATGTCCTTAATTTGTATATTTTATATTTTTTATGGATTAGACCTCTGTAATGGCTATTGATTACCTTAATTTTCAGCTTTTATTCAATATTCAATTGAATCAGGTTGCAGAAATTACATTGTTCAGGCATTGGGTAGCAGTGCGCCAGAAATTTTGCTTTCAGTAATTGAAATTATAGCCAATCATTTTCGAATTGGTGATCTTGGACCTGGCACTATCATTGGTTCGTTCCCAAAAATATGTTCTTTCAGTCTAAATTTGTCAAAAGCAAAAGTTATTTTTGATGTTCTCGGAATTTTTGCATGAGATTTTAAGATGATTCAAAGAAATTATTTGTTTTTTCTTCACAGACAGATTTAAACAGAATCCTTTCAATTTCAAATTTTTATTTTCTTTCATTCTTGCAGAAAAAATTTTATCATGGCAAAGTTGTGTCATATACTTTATTGGTTTACAGGTTCTGCAGCATTTAATTTGTTATGTATCACAGCTGTGTGTATCTTAGCTGTGCAATCACCGACAGTTAAACGAATTCACGAGACATTCGTTTTTGCCACGACATCATTGTTTAGCTGTTTAGCATACATTTGGCTTTTAATCGTACTATTTTATTTACTTTAGAAATTTAATCTATTTCTTCGGAATTTATTATTTCTGTGGGAGATTATCGTCACTCGATGAAGTGTACGGTCAATTCCTAGTTATATAAAGATATTGAAAGATACTCGTAAAGGACCCTGAAGACGGAGAGATGTCTTCGCAATATATTTATGGTTCCAAGAATGTGCTTTGTTTCACCCATCGGTTTTTTCTGATACTTTCAAATTGAAGTGAGATAATTCACAAATTTTCTTTCAGATACTGATAGTAATATCACCAAACGTAGTAGAGCTCTGGGAAGCATTGGTTACTTTTGGTCTCTTCTTCATCTTAATAATTGTTGCATACTTGGTGGACATCAAAATTTGGAAACGTAACAAAGCTTACCTGAACGAAGAATATCAAATTGATAGTGCAGATGATGAGAAATGTAAGGAGGGCGATATTGATACTTATCTAAAGAAGTTTGCTAGCGAAATGGAGTTTGGAAATGATATGGTATTATTGTCAACTGATCTCTGAACTTTTTCTAAAAGCCTTTAAAATAACTGCAAATTTCGAGAGGTCACGACTCTAAATAATTTGCTTAGATGGATGTTTTATTTTTAGATTTGCTTCCTTCATCGTTTTGTGCTTATTCGTTTGTTTCCTTTAAAGTTTTTACATCGTTTCCAGGTCAAGGCGACAAATGAAGTAAGCAATCACAAGACGTTACGTTACATATTACGGTGGATTTCACGAGTCTATCCTGATCTTTCACCGGATCAACAATCCAGTTTATTGGCTTACAAATTAGGACAAATGCAGGTATTTTAATATTGTGTATTTTCGGTGCATCGCCTGTGAAATTTAATTTCGATTTATATTTGTGCAACAAAGTGGGCTGAAAATAAAAAAGCAAAATATGTGGATATGAATGGATGAATATTTTCTTTTATTTTATTATATGAATTAATTTTAAAATTATTAATTAGCCGTTGAAGAATTCACATGTAGCATAAACTTGCATTGATTATATTTAACATCAATTTTCATTTCACCGATCCGATATTATAGATTAGAGACACAAGATTATGGCTTATTTCACTTTTCAATGTCATTTTAGGAAACCTTGATCAATTTCAGAATCGTGGCTCTTTGTGGTACCGCCGACAAGTGACACGAAGGTTAACTGCTGCCAGTCGGAAAATAGATTTGGAATGGAATTCCAAAAAAATGTTGGAAGAAGCTGATGAGGCAAAAAAAACAGCAATAGGTGAATTCTCAGAGTTATTTCTAAAGTCCAAGAAATATTCTCGTCATATTGCTGTCCAGTAATTTGTCTCTAAGTTACAGTTGGAGGGGCGATAGAATTTTCGGCTCGCGTATATTCGATCACTAAGGGAAGCAATAAAGTTATGTTGAGGGTAAGTCTCAATCTTACTATTTAACCAATTTTAATAAGTATAGCAGTTGGTGTATTCTGATCAATGATTTCGAAGCGAAATTTCTGTCAGGTTAAGTACAATTAGGGAGTGCTACCTGAAGAGCCTAATAATATGGAGATTTTGATAAAGTAATGGGATATCAAAAATCCGTCATAAAAAAATGACCGATATTTCAATGTTTATGCAAGATCATAAAAATTCTGCCATCATCTGCAGATTATTCGGCATGAGCCAACTGACAAAGCAATGGCATTTCACTATTCGACGAAAAATGGTGTAGCCAAGAAGGATGTTCATTTTCTAACAAAATCAGAAACTGTAATTTTTAATAAATTTGCCTTAAAATTAAAAATGGGATAAAAGCGGAATTTTCAATTAACTCTTTCTTTTCAATTAAAAATGAATTTATAACGAACTCAAGGAATTTTTGTAAAAAAAGAGTCTTGCTCACTTTAAAATTCCAATTTACAGAGAGCAGTATTATTTAGGTACAATTTAAATCTGGCGAAAAGATAAAGGAAATCTACATAGATTTGGTGGAAGATGCAACATGGCGACCTGGTGATGTATTCTACGTTCATTTAAAACTGGTAGGAAATTTTAGAGGTTATAAATAGTTCTAGCAATATAATTGTTCTTCTAGGCGATTTATCCGATATGGTATTTGTTTGTGATCTTCAACTATTTGTTACCAAGTTAGCGATCCTGATATTCATGATTTTAAAATTTCCATCATTCTTTCTAAAATATTGCGAATCTTGCAGTTTTCAATTTTTTGAATTCATAGATAGCACAATTTTTTGTCTATATTACTGATTACATTGATCGATCTTCATCACTTTATTTTCTGTTAATTAACAGCTCGCAAACGACTATAAAAACATAATCGGAGAGACAAACGTGGCAAGAGTTCAAATTGTGGATGATTCTTCAAATAAACCGATTGTACAATTCGTCAAAAACAATTACGTATGACTTTTTTAGAATCATTCGAGATCATGTTTTTGCTTACAACAGATGCATATGAAAATATTGATTGGATTCATTTATAGATTTCCATTCCAGATTGTGAAAGAAAATCAAAAATACGTGCGAGCTTTTGTTACCTGTCTTCGCCAGAACAATGAGAGCACTTTCAACGTATATTATGAAACAGAAGCTGTTACAGCCAAGTGTGATAAAGATTATAAAGGGATTAGTGACGGAGTATTGACATTTGTGGGTAATGAGTATGAGAAGTATATCGATGTGAGAATATACGACGATATGAATGAAGAGAAAGATGAAATATTCAATATATACCTTACCGCTTCTACAGGAGGTAAATGTTACTGATAGTAATAAGTCTAAATAATGATAAAAGATAATAATCATTGATTTTGTTCGAAGAGTTCAGTAATCAGAAAATTTTATCATTTATATAAATATCAAAATTCTTGAAATTTGTAAAAGAGCAATTTTCAGGAATAACAATTGGGCCCAATAAACGTGCTGTGGTGACAATTATTTGTGATGATAATTTACTTAAAAACATAACGAATATTCGAAAACTAACATCATATTATTTTAAGCAAGTGATGTACGGGTCTAATACATGGCTCGAACAAGTAAGCTCCTTTTTACACTGATTTAAAATATTAAACTTTAATAGATAATTAAATAACAAAATATTTGATAAAGTTGCTCATAAAAGGCAATCTTCAACCGTTGTATTTTATACAGTTAGAATATTATAGCATTTCAATGAAATAGCTTTTTAGCTTATCCAAGCGACGAGCGTTAATGCTGGTGACATTGAGAATGCGACATTGATGGATTGCGTGCTGCACATTTTATCATTTCCATGGAAGGTCATGGCAGCTTTAATTCCTCCAGCCACAATTCTGGGTGGATGGTTGGCTTTCTTTTGCGCGCTAGTCTTGATTGGTTTCATCACTGCCATCATAGGTCATTTCTGTTTTTTTGCATTCTCAAATATTTGGCAATTTGAAATAATCTTTTTTGTACAGTGAGGAAATTTAGTAATTTTCATTTTGGAAAAAACTAATTTGGACATAATTCAGGTGACCTGGCAAGTATACTTGGTTGCATGGTCGGCCTAAAAGATGCTGTTACAGCGATAACTTTGGTTGCATTGGGCACAAGCCTACCAGATACATTTGCATCAAAAATTGCTGCTCAAACTGTATGTTTATTGTCTTTTCTCAATTTGCATGTTACTTACTGTTCTGTTAATTTAAAATTTTCATTGATTTACTTTCAAAGTACCTGAGAATTCAGGTAGTTTGAAAATAAAAAAAACTTCAAGTTCTCCAATCATATTTCTTTTAGGAAATGTAATTTTTCTACGTAATAAGAAAGGAAATTCCAAGACTGATTTACAAAAAGAGGGTTTGCTGGTGCTATTTCCGTTGAAATTTTAAAAGCATTCAGGATAACACAGCCGATAATGCTATCGGCAACATAACTGGTTCTAATGCGGTAAACGTATTCCTTGGACTTGGATTACCGTGGACTATTGCTGCTGTATACTGGTCTACCAGGAATGAACTATTTGTAGTCAACGCTGGCAATTTGGGATTCAGGTTTGTATAACTCTACCAACATAAACAGATGTACACTGGCTATTTCTTTATTTCAGAGATACGATCACTATTTTAGAACATTACTCCAATGATATCACATTTATTGTATCTAAATTTGCTGATATCATACTAATTTCAGTGTTGCGATCTTCATGGCTACTTGTGCAATCTGCATGCTATTGTTAATAGCTAGAAGAGTTTTGGCATTTTTTGGCAAAGGTGAGCTTGGAGGTCCAGTAGGACCTAAAGTTCTCAGCGCTTTAATTCTCGTTATTCTTTGGTTGGGTTATGTAGCGTTGTCAGCTTTACAGACTTATGATTACATTTCTGTTTAACACATTTATGTAATATTCTGACGATTTGCTCTATCCCTAACTTTCAAATTGTTTATCAAAACATCCAGAGATTTCAATTTCATGGCTTTCTAAAAAAGTTGGGGTAAACAGCGAAAACAGACAGAAATTACTGATCAATTCAGATCTGAAACTCATTAGTAATTCTCCCAGTTTCATCTATCAGTTTGACCAGAATCTCAACGTTTTGCTTGTTTTTTTTTTTTGTTACATTTATACTCTGGAGCTTATTATGCATTTTGGCACTCTTTGATAATATTCAAATATTGTGCCAATGGAATAATTATTTTCTTCAGATGTTATTTTTTAACGCCTTAAAATGACTGGGTATGAGAATAACAGCGATAATGGTTTTGAAATATGACAACATATATTTCATAAACTCTGGTAAGCATAAAAGAAGTTGCTAACCACAAACTATCAATGTAACATATAAATTAAACCAAATAACGATCTATTTCCTCATGCTTGACAAAAAAAATTAAGAACTACTTTATCAATATAACCAACTAACTAGGAAAATATGCCAATTAAGAGTAAAATTTAAATTGCCAGTGTTAAAATTGAGGTCACTTAGTGCAACATACTTTAATAACACGACTCCATCCTAGAAATAGTCATCATCAAATTAACGATCCAGTTTATTAATTGGTTCATATTTGATACATATTTGATATTCGGTTCATATTTGATTAAGCATAGGTAGTAAAAACGGTAAAAACCAGTAAGTCATACAATAACAACAGTTTTTCCTTTGCTCATCAGTCTCTGAAAATATATTTTATCCTTTTAACTATTTGACCTCCCACTTTGCTAAATGAAGCATTGAATGAAATTTAAATAACTTATAAATTAGCACAATTCCAAATAACATCATGATACAGTTAACATGCATAAGACTCAGAGGCTGTATGAAATGTATAAATTGTACAAAAATAAACTCAAATACCGAAAAGAGATCCTAGTGCATCGAAATGTGAAATGAAATCGGGATGGGTTCTGGATCACAATATTCTCATTGCGAGATATCCTACAACAATGTGAAATAACAGTCTATTTAGAAACTGATGTAATCTCAAACTCTCAAACGAGAACAGTATATTCTCTGGAACTGAGAATCAATTCCAAATAAAAGAATTCCAAAATGGAAATAAAAGAATTCCAAAAAAAAAAAAACAGAATCCATGTTTCTGAAACTGCTTGTTCTACTGGCATCAGCTCATTGCTTCGATCAACAGTTTATATTAAAAACTTGCTGCTCATTCTACGACGATTTGGAACTAAAGAAAATTTTGTAAAGGATTATTTAATACTCATGCAACACCATGACAATGCAGATCAAATTGAAACATTTTTAAATATTTCTTAGAGTTCATATGGGAAATCCGGTGTTAATTGCTCATTGCTAAAAATCTCTTGTTAAGAAGGCTGTTTTGTTTTTTGAACGTCTCAGAAAATTTCAAATGCATGCTGCAATCTAGTCCTGAGACATTTAAAGATCTACTCACTACACAGAAAATAATATTTCCTGCTATCTCAAATAGTCCCTTGGGACTGAATAATTCTGATTCATAAAGAAAATACTTTTCTAGTCAGCTACCACATATTAAGCCTTCCATTTGTCCTGCGGATAAGATATTTGCATAAAATTTTTACAAAATTTAAAGAAAAACCATCCCACTTTTGTATAATTTCAAAACTCCAACACATATGAATACAGTCTTCTAAAATTTTTAAAATATGTTAGAATGCAGAAACTGAAATTACGCGACGATAGAATATCTGATAATACTAGAAGTTTTTTGATGATTGGCACAGAAAATAGTTGTGATAAAGATTTTATTGATTAATGGAGAATTTATCATTCGTATACGTTAAAAAATAATTAGAAAATAGCACTACATTGACCTTTTTTGTTGATCGTAGAAAAAATTTATTGGTAACTTGATTGAGATTATAGTATAGTAGAGATGTCATGGAATATAAACAGCAGCACTTCTCAAACCGAATTGAATTATAGTTCTTTCACAATCAGCTAATTAAAGCAAGCAAGTTTTGAAAACAATGAGAGCTAAACGAACGAATAACAATGAATATATTTAACATTACACGACAATTTGATCATTAAAAAACAATCTTTATAGCATAAATTTCTATAATACAAAAGTATTTAATTATTTCAATATATTTGTCACCCAAACGATTGTAGAAGTCAGCCCCTTAACTTCCATTAACTAAGTCCTCCCTGTTGAATTTGTACGCAACAACACACGTAAACGTTGAATGACTGGCGCACACCATCACATTACTTCCTATCTCCAACATTACCGTGTACACTATATGACTGTTAAATTACAGGAACACAAACCGAAAAAAGAACACATTACGCTGCAAAATTGAACTGAGCTGGCATGATGCCAATGTTGCAACTTTTGGGGACGATTGGTTGGCGATAATTATTTGGGCGGTAAATGAGAGTGTGTCTCGACGATTGATTGAAATGATGATTTCAGGATTTCTCGTGTTTGACAGTTTACACAGATCACTCATCGAGGACAACTGCTCGACATGGAAGCAGGAGGGTTTGTGCTTACAACTTATTTGTATAGTTTAGCTCAAAATACTGTTCATGAGAATTTCCAGCTGTCAATGAAAAACTTACTATCATTTTGATCTTTCGATAGTTGAAATGATGCTTTTCAGAGATGAGACACAAAAGCAGGTTGCGTCAACTGAAGCAGCTGTGGCAGTGGACGAGAAATTGGATGTGAAAACTGCACTGCGAAGAGCTCTAAAATCAGCAATTGTCATGGATGGAGTGGCTAAAGGTCTTCATGAAGCCGCCAAAGCTCTCGACAAGTATAACTTTGAAGCGACTTAAACTACCCATCCTTCATAATAAATCTTCTCTGTTTTAGTCGTCAACTGTGAGTTGTAGTAAATATTTTATCAGTGCAACTGAATGCCTTATCCAAATTTTAGGCGTCAGGCGTATTTTTGTGTCCTGGCTGAGAATTGTGACGAGCCAATGTATACCAAACTAGTAGAGGCATTATGTAATGAACATCAGATACCTCTGGTTAAAATTAAGGACAAAAAACAGCTGGGGGAATGGACTGGTCTATGCAAATACGACAAAGAGGGAAAAGCTCGAAAGGTTTACATTTGGTATATGTGTTAACAATTAAGCTGCAGTAATTTCGGAGAATTTAACTACGCAGGTTCTGAATTTATTAGAAAAGAGCCAAATCTTACGATCTGTCATAGTCGATTTTGCTTCTGAGAAATTGTAATTCTCAGCGTTTAATCATGTCCCAAGTATTAGCTTCTGAAGTTTTCATCTTTCCAGTTTTGATAGTAGTATTTTGGTTGCTTAAAGCATCCAGCGGTATTTTAACAGTTTGTTAACTATTAAAAAATGGAGTCGCTTTCTGTAGTTTACGAGATTGCTTACATTCAAAACATGTAGATGATTTATATTTCAGGTAGTGGGGTGTTCTTGCGTAGTTGTGCGCGACTATGGTCAAGATGACGCTGCACGCGCATTTCTTCAGGAATATTTTGACAGTCAAAAGAAAGGCTGATGCGTATTGTTTGTTTATTGTTTATGCTGAACAGTTTTTTGTTGACTTAATAAAATTTTTTCGAAAATGTTTGTTTCACATATAAGAAGTCTTTTCGCTAATAATTTTATCGTAGCAAAGATAGAATTATTATTTTCATGAAGAGAACGCTAGGAAGCTCAATTCTGCATGGTAATGATGATTATGTTTTCAAAGATAGAATTCTAATGAGTATGAAATGGAAGACATAATTGTAACTGCATTATCATGCAACTGTTAGTGATTTTCATGAAAAGTGGTTCCGTTACACTGACACTCTTTCTGGGTTGATGGAGCACAGCTTTCGCATGGTTTAAAGCTGGATAGAGCAGATCATGCGATTGAAGTCATGTTTGGAGATGGTTTTTGTAATTCTCAGTAAGATAGAAGTCTGCAATGTGATATCAACATAAAAAGGTATCGGGAAAATTGGTGTTTTACAGAATGACCAAACCAGATAAATCATCCGTTGCAATGGAGGAGGTTTCATATGAAGTTGCAGAATACAATAATGATCCTTCGTTCGAGATTGCTTGGGCTATTAAGGTATAATTTTTGCATTATTTGCTTTTGTGAATGATTATGCGTCCGGCAACATCCTTGTTTTTTCCTAATTTTATGCATTTTATTTCTAATAGTAATAGTAATGCTTTATCAAATTCTCAAATGTGGTCCATTACAGGCTGCTGAAAGGGCGAATATTCATATGAGCCTGCTGCTCACTTGCAATACCAAAGAGTTAACGATGCATAAAAAATTTAGTATTATTTATGATAAATTTCGAGCGGTATTTCCGAAAATGAATGTTGAGAAGGTAGTTCTTGATCTGATAAAAACGAAGTAGCTGTCATAAATGAACATTTTATTTTTAATGTTCTGTCTATGAATAAAATAAATTATTTTCAGGTAACAGAAAAAGAGTTAAAGGGTGAAAATAAGCAACAGTGGTTTACATTTTGTGAGTATTTTAAAGAAGAAGTAGAAGATTATAATCTTGCTACAATCATGAGGATACGAGCTGATGGTGCTTACAGTGAATCAAATACAATTATTGTTCCTAAGGTAATAGGTCAGATTCTACATTTTATCTGCTACATTGTTGTCTTTGGAATTGGTAAATTAGTTTGAATACTGAAAGACAATGTGAGCAGAAGTCTGGCATGGACTGATAGGACATCATTGCTATTATTTAAGATTAACCATAATTTGCAAGGGAAATATTTCTGGTATTTTTTTCAAAAAACCTAACTGTGGTTGGCGTATAGTTGTACCAGCTGGATTATTGTACATAGCTTATGATTAACTTAAGTTTCTTTTTCTCAGCTTGATTTTGGACTTCGAAATTAACTTTTTATATTTTCTAGATAATTTTTCTGGCTGTGGAGATTGCACGGAACAAGGAAGGTTTGAATGAAAGCTGTAAGGAAAGTTTCAAAATGGAACATGAAAGAATCGGGCGTGAAGGGGGGAATATTTGTTAGAGGTTGTTAAGTATTGTTGTATACTACCGCTCATTTTTTCGCCTAAACAGCTGTTTTATACTCCGTATTTTCTATATAATTCATAAGAAGCTAACATATATGAAGAAAAAAGTCAAAAATAATTTAAAAACAAATTTTTTTTTCGTTGCAGTTGCAACTTTAAGTTCTTTATCTTTGAAGTAATACAACAAAATTTTGGGATAACTAGATAATGCTGTTTGTTTCATATCATTCACTCTCTCGGGTTGGTGAACTTTAAGCTTCATAATTCTTTTTTCTTAGGTTAATTTTTTTAATCTTATCCGAGGATAAAGAATTTAGAAGAAACCACCGTTGTAAAAAATGGAACTAAATGAAATAAAAATAACAGAACACATAAGTTTTTGTTTTTCTACAACAATTGGAACATTATAAATTTGATATTTGCTTTGTTATTTGCTCTTTCAGCATGTTATCCTTTGTTTTACTTGGTTGCATGCTTGTGTTGTTTTTCGCTGTCTATTTTATTGGCGTTTGCAAGCATTGGAAATATAAAGAAGATTCCAGTACAATATTGGCTGTTGATTTTTCCAATAAAATGCTTAGCAGTCCATTTGGAAGATGTTTTGAATATAATTATCATGGCGACCTGATATATTCCACCGCGTCCAACTTAGCGTAGAACTATTTAGTACTTACGTACACATATTCTGACTTCTCTTCTATTTAACAAATATTGAGATAGAAAAAATTGGCTGTAAGTAATAGGAGCTTCAGGTTAGGCAATCAAGATAGATTCTTAGATTTGGAAGTAGAATTTTTTAGACAGTTGTGTGGGAGATTATGGTTTTCACTGCATCAAAGTTGAAAATTCTCAGAGACAGGTTTGTTCCTATTTATGTAGATCTTCTGAGTCTACGAAGTTTAATCTTTATTCCAGGCAAATTATGTCCGGCTTTACTTTCGGCACACAAGGTGCTACTGCTTCTTCGACATCTGTTACGGGTAGCTTGTTCGGAGCGGCGTCCAAACCATTGTTTGGTACTTCAACAACTACAGCGCGAACTTCAGGTACGTACTAATCTGATTTTGCCGCATTTCGGAATCTCAGTCCAAAGTGAGTTAAGAGCGTAAAAAGTTCCCAGAAAGTTTCAAATTTCTAAACTTCCCTAAGAATTCTTAGTTTTTATGTTTTTTTATATGATCGATTATTTTTTTCAGGGACTAGCCTGTTTGGAGCACCTACATCTCTAGCTACAGCATCTGCAACACCAACAGGTGAAATTTGAAGACATTTGACTGTGGCTTAATTATTCCAAGTGCGGAAGTGATGCTTACTCATGATCATAGTTTCCAGGATTATTTGGTTCAACAGCTTCTTCTGGTGGATTATTTGGAACACCTGCAAAAACTTCCACAGGAAAGTCACATGTTAAATCGAAGTGGTTAATTAAAATCGCAGAAATTATAGGGCTGTTCTTTCAGGTGGTTTAATAGGAACTGCTGCAGTGGCTACGACTTCAATGGTTTGTGGGCCTTTTGGAAGTACATCAGTAACAACAACGCCAGGTTTATTTGGTGTCACCCCTGCTGCTACCGTTACTGGAAGTCTTTTTGGGAAGCCAACAACAGGCATGTATATTACTGCTATATGTAATTAGATTTGAGTTATGACTAATTATGGAAAGAAATGAGACAATAAAAAATATTGTTGTTTAGGTTTGTTCAGCAGTCCGGCAACTGCTACAACAGCTTTAACTGGTGGACTTTTTGGCGGAAGTGGAACACCGACGACTACAACTGGAGTAGGATTGGGAGGGACGGGTACGCTTGCAGGTACCGGTTTATTATCAAGTAGCTTAGGAGTTGCCGGTGCTGCGGCTTCTGGAAATCCATTGGAAACTGAAGTGCAACAAGTGATTATGGATCTCTTCAATTTATTGCGGTAAATTACATTGTTATTTGATTTGTTATTTGATTTCGAAAGTTTTCTACTAGTAACTGCGATATTTCAGGGATCGAATTAAAAAAAACCATGAAATAAGCGTTGAATTTGCAATGAATAGCTCGGAGTCATGCTTGCATATGGATGAAAAGATAGAAGAATTGATTGGGATACGTGTGAAGAACGCCGACATTATACGTAAAGCAAAAGACAGCGCAAAAGGTAGCTTCTTACATAATATTTCATTATTCCAGTTTTTATGCATTTATTCCTGGTTTAAATAGTATCAGTGGGAATTGCAAGAATCTGTCAATGCTTGGGTTCGTTATTCAAAACTTATATTTTGCTAAATCGACATGATGGGCAGGAAGGATCTAATATGCAGAAGTTGTATCGAACTAAAGCTGACTCATAACTTTGTCTTATTATATTTTTTACGAAGAATTTAGACGTTAAGAAACTATCTCTAATTGCTTACAAAATTTTAGAATTACTTGAGAAAATGCAACGAGACTCACGGACAGCAGAGCAGATACGTCGACGGCAAAAAGAAATCTCAAAGAATCCACAATTCGGCCGAAAACAAGCTTTCTCTTATTTATTGACAGTTTGTGATGAACACGAAAGTATCGTGCGAGAATTTTGGGAAACATTACAATTATTGCAGGAGAGAATTGGTGCAAAGTTAAATAAGGTTAGTTCTACTTCAAACTACAATTATGAAACCATCTTTATTAGAGATATGCGGTCTAATTTTTTAAGAACTTTTGATCTTTCTCTATTTGGAAGGATGTATATAAAATCGAAAAAATTTTTCTGGATAAAAAAATTGCGTCCATCACCTAATTTAGTTAATAAGATCTTTCGAGCGCAGTGAAATCCTATAACTTTCCTGAAAAGAGAGTTAAGCGACAGGAACATACCGGAGTCGGGTTAAAAATGCTTATTATAACAGAATTGTTGCATAAAAGTGGTTTGTAATAAAACTTATTCTAGAATTTATTTTTTTCACTCTTTAAGCATTAAAATTTTTTTAGAAAGATATAGCCACAAAACAAGATCTGCAAAAACATTTCGAGCATTACGATCAAACATTCAAAGTTATTTGTTCTGATGTATATCGATATAAAATACAAATCGAAGTATGTTTTTGTTTTAAGTACATCTTATACCATTATTTCATTAATCTCTGAATATTTATTGACATTTGGTATTGACCCTTTTTTTAAAATCTGTGTTTGTTTTTTTTTTTATTAGTGTTTTTTATCATTTGCATTTTTTTGTAGGACCTCAAAGATGCGTTTTTGGAATATCAAAAGCGTACTAACCCATATACACCGAATCCATTTGAACAACGAAAATCGAAGCATATTGAGAAGTCAGATACGAAAAAGAGATTCACGGGTGAAAGATTTTTTGTACTTTAGTTTTGTATTATGAAAACGTTAAAAGACTGTGAACTGTGCTGTAGTCTGGCCACAGGACTATACAATACACTCTGTCCTTGGCTTTTTATTATACTATTTCGGAAGGGCTTTGTGTTTTCGTGGAAATCGTACATCTTATGAGAAAATTTTCCATTAACTCTATATGATGAATTTAAGTGTTTTATTATTTGAAGGCGCAGATGCGTTCCCTTCACAAATAACAATGATAAAAATTGGTGAAATGGCGAAACCTTCTTCAACAACACAACAAACGGGCAAGATATTTCCCTATTTCTTTGTTGATCATTCTTCAGAATCTTAATCTCAAATTACGTATTATAGCAAATTGAAAATTCTGATGTTATAGGAGGAGTAAGTGGATTTGGCACATCGGGTTCATTATTTGGTTCGAAAACTTTCGGTACTCCTGCCTTTTCTTTCAATCCATCAGTCGCAAACACAACAGCACCATTATTCAAACCTTTCTCCACTACTAGTTCAGCATCAGCTCCTCTTTTCGGTATAGCATTATAAAAGTGCTTGGCTCTTATTGATTTTAATTTATATAAAGTTAGCCAAGAATAATGATAGGCATGAAAGAGTCAATTTTTGGTGTTCATATTTCTTTCTCTAAATTCGAAATATTAAGAAAAAAAGGGAATCAAGAAAAAAGCTTGGTGAGCACAGACGTAGCCAGCAGAAGCGCGAAACATTGTCAGCAGTGATCTAATAGTAAATTTATTGCTTCTTTATTTTTCCTCGTACTATTTTTTCGCATCTTTTCTAGTGAGTTAATTTTATTTTTCTTTTCGGAAGTAATATTGCCAAATAAGAGTGTACATTCTCAATTGGTTTCAGGCAACTTAGCAACACCAGTAGCAGAGCCAGCACCCGCATCAACAACAACATCATCTTTTACTTTTGGAAATACATTGAACTCATCGGTTAGTGGAACATTATTTGGCGGAAGCGCTAGCAAACCCTTTGGCCGATAATCCAAACATTTCGAAATTTCGTTTTTTTATACGGTACCACTTATTTGAAGGTCACTGCTAATTTCGTACATTAGATACCAAATACATTTTGTTTTAAAAACTGGAAATATAGTTAGACAAATTTCCAAACATCGTATTGGAATGATGTATGTTGAAGTAGAAAACAAGGCAGAGAAAGAAGAAAAAAGATGATGATAATGATGCAGGAAATTTTTTGTGGAGGATGTTAGTTGTTAACTACGGCACTTATGCAGATTAATTCGACATATGTCACGTTAGAGGAATTATATAACAATTATATCGTTCATTCTGTATTTATTAACTGCCATTTTTCATTTTCACTACCGCGGATATAGTTTCTCCTTAAAAAACTGAACTTTTTCCAATGAATCTTTTGTCACTCATTGCTTTTTTAATATTAAATTTGACCATTTACTTGCCAAAGGAATTATATCAACATTCAGAAAACATTCGTTTATTTTCATTTTTTGTGATCACCATAAAGGTGTACTGGAACTTCTTGCATGTTTCATGTTTTCTGCAGTACCAATAATCACATGGGGACAAAATGAAAATAAAACAAAGTAACAGCCTTCAAACAGTTAGCGAAATGAGTTTCGGTTTATCACTTATTCCTGATGAGATATTTTTTTTTAGAAATCGGATGAGACAAATGAGTGCAACAAAAAAATATGAATGTGAAATGAAATTAACAGGAGTACAAGATGATATAGTTACAATAATTTTCTTTTAAATAATCGGAAACGTTTGTCCCTTCAGCTTTTTCTTTCCTCCTCTATTCTTCATAAATTTTATAAATATTATTTGTTCTACCCATTCATGTAAAAAGACGCTTTTTGTTTGCATGGAATTCTTTCCATTTTAAGTAATTGTTTAGATCGAAAAATTTGGAAGTTATTTTGTTAATCTGTATCGGCTTTTCCGTTTATTTTTTGTCATTAAGTGAAAAGCTTATTAGATTTGATAATAAACCAAAATGAATATCGGTTTGTTTAAAAAGAACAGAAATAATAGGAAATATTGCAATGACTTGATGAAAAGTGAGTAATTAATTAGGAGAATCTGCCTAACATTCATTTTAAAACTTTCTATAAAATTCGATTTTCCGATGTTTATACTTATTATAAAATAATATTGAAGTATAGTTGATATTATAAAACAATTTTCTAAGCAAATCCTGAATTGTTAATTATTTAAATAAAAATCAATTTTATTATCGTTCATTTAAGAAGCTCATAAAGACTTGCGTATTACACCGTTCATTTTTTTATAATTGTCTCAAGTTAGTACATATCGAGTAGTGATAAAATCACAATCGTAGAATATGGGCAGTAGATAATATTGCAACAAAGAAATATAAGTGCATATAATTAACGATCCATGTAGCTCATGCTTGCTTTATAAATTCATTTTTTAAATTTCCCGAAAATTGCTAAGTCATTACCATCATGGGATAAATACAAAGCTGAAATATTAAATTTTTTCGTAATTTGTATTTCATTCAAATTGCAGAATTTTAAATTTGTAATTACTTTCTAGTCGCTTTACTAACACGGAGAACGACTTTTTGGTAATTGCAAGCGATATGTATTGCAAAAAATTTATAACGATTTGACCGTAGTGTTCGAACGGGGCTTCGAGAAAGCCAAAAAGCATTACTTTACTCAGATGCTAATCAGTCTAAGTACTGGTTGATTAAATGAAACATTTCATCGGGCTCATGTTATAAAATCCAGGTATGATTATGTTAAAGTACATGAACAGAAGATAAAGCAGGCATTATCTGGAGAAATGTGGATAATCTGGTGAATTTATCGATAAATCTTAGCTAACAATAATCCATTATTTGAATTGCATTATTAAAATAGTGTAAAGTGAAAAATACCGTCAAATGTTGATTTTTTCATATTTATTATCGTATCCATAATAATTTTTCAGCCATTTCCATAACTGAATATGCTCCCATGGAGTATAGATGAATGCAAAGAGGATGTTTGGTGCTTTGATGAGTTGATCTAATTGATTCCATTTAAAAAGGATTTTTTGATTCCATCTCTCGTAGTGTGCTTGCACTCGCATTCCGAGATGTCCTGTGACGTGAACATCTTCTATCTAAAATTCATTGCTTCCAGAAGGATTTATTCCAACTCTTGTATTTCCGGAAAGAGCTGAAAAAAATGGTATCTTGAAAAGCTGTCATTCACAGACGAATGTTTTATCCATGATGGCAAGGCATTCATTTTATTCTTAAAGTATCGTAATGCAAACCCAGAATAATGTGCAGAAGCGAGCCTGCTCGAACAGTGGCCCGGCAAGATCTCCTGTAAGCAAGTAAAAAGATCCGCTGCAGTATTGCGGATAATATTTCTTGGGATATTCCTTGTACGATACAGGCCTAAATGATTGCAAGCTTGAACTTGTATGTGATTAAGACAAAGAAATGAGAATTCGAGAAGTATCATTTGGAAACAATTCGGGAAGCGATGACATTTCTATCAGTCATGGAGAATACGTTATGCGACAATTTCTCTGATTCATACTCACCATTTAGTATCAATTCTGTTCACTCTAGCATTATTCGTTATGTAGCAGGAAAATGATTTTGATACGGAGGAGTGATTAGTGTTATTTTCCGTCCGGTTTTGAAGTATCTCCACAAGTTTGAAATAATTGAAAGCAATATCAGCATCAATTTTTAAGACATATTTGACATTTGGACAAAAATCATGAAGAAATTGAAGCCACATTAATGTCTGTAAAGAGAAAAATGAGCAAAACTGTTGATAATAATTACAAAAGAAAGCTCTGATGAATTCTGAATCCAAACATCCATCAGTGATTTCTTTAATTTTTGCTGAAACATGATAAGGTTATACCAGCATGCATAACCTCTAAATCAATCAATAATTCATGCAGAAATTCGTAACGCTTTTGACAATATTATTAAAAATTTCATGAATTTCTGTAGAAATTGCCGAAATACAAAACTTGAGAGTAAGATTCTTGTAAGTGTCCAAAAATTCTTGCTGTATAATATCGCCATATTTTCGCTGCTCTTTCTGAATCAAATTCATCATATCAAGGTCATCAGTACTGCCGAGTGGGAATAATACTGCTGTTTTGAACTGAAATAACAAATTTTTTCAAATTGAATCATTACTGAGAAATATGTCATTAAATCTTAATTTTATTAATTAATTAATTAACCTCTTTTCAATTACGTGCTTACATGAATTTCAACAATGAAAATGTATTTCAGTTCATGAGGAATTCAATACATATGAGTGGCTCTAAATTCATAAAGGTTTTATCATTATAAAAAAACTAGAAGCACCGTGATTGATACCTCTCTTTTAATTTCATATATACCAATAAAATACATCTATTAAATCTATGATGAAGATTTTTCCTAATGTAAGTTAATGAGAAGATTAACTAACATCTTTGTATAATTTGACATCACCCCACGTTTTCCGAATCACATTTCGATGTTCTCGTTGTTCAATTGCCGTAATCGCGACGATAAGAAGGAGTAAATCAGGATAATTTTGAGTGCAAAATTTTCGATCAATTATTTTCCATTTATAAGCATATCGGTTGTACAATTCCTGTAAAAGAAGAATTTCCAGTTTCTATAATGGTCATTACAATCAATATTTAATGGGATGTTAAGGCAATTTCAGTAAATCTTAGAAGTTGATAATAATCAAAGCTCATTACTAACTTATCTCTTCAAGTTACTATATTAGAATTTTTTGAATAAGAAAAGAAAATATATCACCACATTATCGGAACAGCTGAAGGTATTAACTGCCTCAGCATTTGTCTTGAATTTAGCGTTCTTACTCGTCTCGAATGAGGGATTCAATGAAACTGTGATGATTCTGAATTCTGTTTTTGGGCTACTTTTCGACATATTAACTTCATACCTCCACTTTGACTTTCGATGAATTACTGAAGTTTTTAATGGCACAAATTTATATAACACAAGGTTGACTGTCAATAAGACCACGATGAATATTGATAATGAAAGTACCACAGATTTCATACTGTTACTGTTTATGATAAATATGTCAATTCTTATCAAATAAAAATTGATAGCTTCTATGCAAAGCGCTTTCTTCGAGAATTAAAGCATTGAGGAGTGAGCAGCAAATTGAATAAATGAAAGCGACAATTTACTGTTCCTGAAAAGAAGGAAAAGGAATATTTTCTTCATTAATAATGGAGGCGCAAAAGGAGCACTATCTCATTCTCGTTCTTTCCTAAATATTTCAACGCATAGTAACCAACCTTTCAGCTGTATCACAAAAAAAATAAATGCCTACTTTTATGAAAAAAATGAAAATAAAGAATAAGATGACTAATTTCATTCAAATCGGAACATTCCTGGTGAATAAAATTGAAATTTCTGCATAAAATTTTCAGCACTATTTTGTTTTGTTAAATGCTTGCTTGATTCATCGCAGCTTTAAAAGATTTTTGATTTCAAAATTCATCTTCCCCGACCAAAATTCATAACATATGCTAATAATGCGTAAGATGTGATATGCTTTTATGTTTTTAACCAAAAAATTTTTACAACACAAATTTGTAAGATTTCCATCATTCATTCATATCATATCACTTTTTTATATTACAATTTAGCCATAGCAATAGAATTGATAGAGCGTACAAGATGTAACATACCGGGTTATCATCATTAGCCAGCGGTGATCATAGCTGAGCTAAGGTGAAATCCCTTAAAGTGCAACTTCTATTACATCCATCGAATGATTCGAATTTAGCATATCAGCTTCATTTCTTCTTCACTTTTAATCTGAAGGATTGATTCTGTTAACAATACCGGTTGTTAACTTCTGATATACTTCTTCATTAGCCAAGTGGACACTTGACTTACTGGCCACAGATCGTTGCAAACGGGCAGGATAGAATGTTCGCATTTAGCGATTATGTCAACTCATTTGAAAAGTTCATAATTTACCACATCTCCGAAATATTCTCTCTTTTCGTTTGTAAGAGATTTATTGATTTCATATCAGTTTGTTGGCTGTCATATCGATGTTTTCGATATTGTTGTGGATCAGCATCAATTGGATTTTTTCATTTGCACATCGCTCTATCACTTCACAGTTGACAGCTTCATCGGTCATTTGTTTGCTTATTTTTCTTGCACAGATTTCAATACATCATTTGTGCAAAAACTGCAACCTTTCTTTTTTTTTTAAACCAATCAAATTTTGAGAATTCACGGGGTGACATTAGTTGTGAATTAATAAAATAAATCGAGATATGCTCGAGGAAATGACTGAAGAGTAACGACATGTCATAATTACAATAAATTTGATTAATGATAAGAGATGTCGATATTGTAAAAACGATGCAGAGTGAATAGCATTTGTCTTGAAAAGCTGTCTCCAGTGATAATTTTTATCAAAACATTTATACATGTAATACTTCTTATCATTCAAGTTACCGATGTTTTTAAGAAGTGAATTTTAACTTTTGCTTTTTGCTGAAATGTAGTTCTTGTTCGTCAAGAAGGATCTGCAGTTTGCTGAAGCAAGACAAGAGATGTCGATATTGTAAAAACGATACAGAGTGAATAGCATTTGTTATTCATTTTGTGAAAACGGCATGCGACATGCAGATTGAATTATTTGATAAAACGCACTTCCAGATGTTGCAAACAAAAACATAACATTCATGTTCAGAATCAAGGATTTGTTCATAATTTGTCTTAAATTTAAAATGCAATTTTTAAATATTGTTAATGTAGTACTAACTCTGATCACTGAGTTTATTTCTTCCAATATTGTCATTTCTACAGATCTTATAGGTTGTTTCTATTTGCAACATGTGTTCACATTAGGAAATATTGTAGTTGGGCATTCTTCAGTTCTGATAATTATGTTGCATAGTGTAAGATGTACAATAGGTACCTACTTCGTTAACTAGGATAATAGTCCTTAGTCGGATAAGTTAAACCTTTAAAATGAAATTTTAGTAACAAAACACATTTGGCAGGTGTGATCGTGGGTGGTAATGGAATTCTTGGTACTTCGATTGCATATAATTTGGCGAATTACGTGACAAATTTATCGTGTTGCTTGAGCGTGACTAGTGGGACTTGCAATGTTTCAAAGCAACATTTCTTTTTTGTCGTTCAGCAGCTATGAAGATAGCTTTTTTAATAATATAAAGACATAATTTGAGAACGTATGGTATCTTAAGTGTTGGCCTGAGTGATGCAACAAGTGCTGGTTGGGTAACAGTTTCAATGTATTGGCAAAATCCAACGAAACAGTATATGGCCAAATATTCGTTGAATTTATATGCCGATTTATGTAAGACTTCAATTTCAGTTAGTATGGTCTCCTCTGTTGAAACTGTTCTATTAAAATTCGAGTCGTAAAATTTCAATTCTTTCAAGATTTTTGTTTTAGGTAAAGATAATTTTCCAATGCCTCTCATTTTAATGGAATGTCTAGGATACAACCACTGTGGACGAATGTATTTAATGAATTCAGCAGAAGATGAAATAAGCTTGCGACAAATTTTTTCACGTTCAGCTATTTACGAGGAAGAAGCATAGCTGTATAGCAGTCAAGAAGAAATACGATGCTAATACAGATGGCTCTGGATTAATTTATGAAAAATTTTTTTGAGTCAAACTTTCTTTGCTTGCCATTTGAGCAATTTGACTTTCTTTTTTTTAGTTAGTGTTGTTCTCGCCAAATGATGTTTTAGATCCTATTGGTCTCTAAAATTTTATTTGTGGAAATGAATTTTGTCAAATGTGGGCTAAATGCATTATTTTGATTCTAATTCAGACTATTTTTTAGGAATGCAAATATTTGTTGAAGAGATAATTGTTAACAAAAAACAAAAAGTGGTAGGAGTCCGGACAAATCA